GTTCATAGGGTCATTATGAGTCATACTCAACAGCACCTAACAACAACAACAACAGGGAGTTCTGGTGGCAAGAAGCTGCACTGCAATCCCAAAGGTATGTGATTCGAGGCTACCAGCTGCTTGGCAGGAGAAGGATGGGCAATCTCCTTCTATGTGATTAACTGCCTCGGAAAAGCTGCTAGAAGATAAGCTATGGGTCAGTCCTGACTCTACAGTGCTCAACAATGGTGGTAAAAGCTACACAGCACTCTCAAAGGCACACAGGTCATTCACCAGTCGCTCTGAGGGAAAAGGATGCACAACCCCCTCCTCTGTAAATGACTGCTTCTGGAGGGTCAGCTATTAGCTCCGACTCAACAGCACAAAGCAACAACAGCAGCAAGAGCGCCCTGATGCTCTAGTGATGAGGAGCTGTGTTGCCAGCTGAAAGGTACATAATTAAAATCCACCAGCCACTCCACAGGAGAAAAAGCAGCAACCACTTGTCATGTGACTTATCGCCTCTGAAAACCCGCTGGAGGGTCAGCTATGTATAAGTCAGATCCAACTTGATGGCACATAACAACAACAGTGCACTATTAGTTTGGGAACAAAGACAACAAGTCTAGTGTCAGATCTGCTGCCATGTTCCCTAGAACTTTAGGCTTCGGACTCCTTACCCATAAAACACGAGACTTCTCTTCATGAGCACCTGCTAATGTACTCTTTATGACATTTTCTGGGGCTGAGGTGAAAAGTGAGAAATTGGGGCACCTACGCCTGGAGCATTATTTGAAAGGAAAGAATGAAAACCAGATACTGTCAAGTTGATTGACAGCAATCAAATTGTTGTTAAGTCTGTTTCCAACTCTGGAGGCTCCATGTATTACACAGCAGGGCTTTCTTCGTCATAATATTTGTGGCAGATAATGATCAGGTCTTCTGTGGAGCCTCTGGGTGGGTTTGAACTGCCAGAGTGTAGGTTAGCAGTTGATTGAAAACGTCTTGTAACACTCAGACTGATTATGGTTTTTGTTGCTGTTGTTAGAGGCCATCAGATTAACCAAGACTCTCAGCAGCTCTAAGAACAACAGCTCGGAGCCTTGCCCCATTCTGTGCTATCCTTGTTGTTCCTGATACGCTGGAGTCCACTGTAACAGTCAGTGTGTCAATTCCACTTATAGAGTATCCAAAACAAAGGGAAGAAATGCTGGGGCAAAAGATGAATAGAAGATTTCAAAGGGCATCTCAAGAAGACTTATGCTTATGAAGGTGCCCAATACATAGCCCCTGAGGGAATAAACTCACGCATGAACAAATGCATCTTGTTTGAAGGCTTTTTGTTCACGGAGTCACTATGAGTCAAGCTCAACTTGAAGGCAATCAACAGCAACTTGACCTTAACCCTGACAGCTGATGTCTATATTATTGCTGCAGACACTCTTGTAGTAACAGCTTGTGTCATCACACCTTTTAATATACCAAAATGCCACAGACTTTCAACACGTATGTTCTTTTCTCTCTTTCTGCCAAGGAAGGACTTTTGTTTTGGTTTGGTTTTAATCCTGTTTATTGTTCTACTTAAAAGTAAACCTTCTCATTGCCGTAGAACCCTTATAATGGGCTTGCACTTGAGTGTTTTTCCCCACTGACTTTGGGTTTCTAGTATTCTGGGGGTTGATTTAACTCTAAGTGTGTTTCTCCTGTCTTCAACTTGCTTCCTAGCATCCTAAGTAGAATCAGATGAAAAGTTTTCTCAACAGAAATTTTCTTATTTAAAGTTAAAAAATGTCTCATTAGTTCTTTTCTCTCCTGGAAGCATTCCAGACTCTCCTCAACTGTCTGGGGGCTGTTTTCTTGAGGTTTTGGGGAGTGGTGGATTCAAGGACTATGGTATGTACTCTGGAGGCTAAGCTGGGAGAGCTAGACCTCTTCACTATCTGTTTCCTGTGCCACCTGCTGCCTCTTTACCATCCTAGAGGAGAACTGAGGCCCTTGACAGGTGAAGGATTGTGGGCTCTAACCTAGGAAGGTGATCAGGTTTGTGAAATTGACGGAAAAAGGAAATAAGGCAAGAAGGCAAGAAGACAAGAAGCATTCATACACAAAATGCTGAGAGAGTGATGGTGGTTGAGACACATCTCCACTAAAAGCGACTAATAGGATTTAGGCAAGAACAGAACCCAAGTGTTTCTTGGCCACGTGCTGCCAGTCACTTCAGTCTTCTCATTTGTTCCTAGGATTGGGATGTTTCACCTCATCTCTCTGGCCTATGCTGGGGGTGACTGATAAGCAAAGCTTCTCAGAGAAGAAAGTAGGGGAGAAACTGGATGCCCCTCAGTGTCTTCCTTGGAAAGGGAGACCAGGAGGCTCTGTTTGAGCCAAGTAGCACACTACCTAGAAATTCCAGCAAGGTAACTGTTGGCATGTAGCAACAGCCTGTGGGCACAAGCTGGGTGATACTGGTATGCCCCAAGACGCTGTTGACACCATCTCATTGGCTTGTTACTAGGGCCTGGAGTTGGTGGTTGGGGGTTGATACGTGTGTCACCAATTGCTCAATAGCAACTGGAAGTAGCCTCATCCTTGCGCTGGGCTTGGGACTGTCTCAGTGTCTCATGAACTTAGACTTCCTAGAGACATTTTCCTCTTTGCTTTCTAGACTTATTCTCCCACTTCCAGCCACATACTTGAGAGATATTTCCGACTTGAGCCTTCAAACAAGATGTATTTGTTCATTCGTTAGTTCATTCCCTCTGTAGCTATTTATTGGGCACCTACCATAAACCGTCTTCTTGAGATGCCCATTTGAAATCCATCTCTTTTGCCTCAACATTTCTTCCTTTTGTTTTGGCCACACAATAAGTGGAATCCTTCACCTGTCAAGGGCCTCAGTTCTCCTCTAGGATGGTAGAGAGGCAGCAGGTGGCACAAGAAACAGACAGTGAAGGGGTCTCTCTCTCCCAGCATAGCCTCCAGAGTACACACCATAGTCCTTGAATCCACCACTCCCCAAAACCTCAAGAAAACAGCCCCCAGACAGTTGAGGAGAGTCTGGAATGCTTCCAGGAGAGAAAGGAAGTAATGAGACATTTTGTAACTTTAAAACTTTAAATGAGAAAACTTCTCATCTGATTCTACTTAGGATGCTAGGAAGCAAGTTGAAGACAGGAGAAACACACTTAGAGTTAAATCAACCCCCAGAATACTAGAAACCCAAAGTCAGTGGAGAAAAACACTCAAGTGCAAGCCCATTATAAGGGTTCTACAGCAATGAGAAGGTTTACTTTTAAGTAGAACAATAAGCAGGATTAAAACCAAATCAAAACAAAAATCCTTCCTTGGCAGAAAGAGAGAAAAGAACATACGTGTTGAAAGTCTGTGGCATTTTGGTATGTTAAAAGGTGTGATGACACAAGCTGTTACTACAAGAGTGTCTGCAGCTATAATATAGATATCAGCTATCAGGACAAAGGTCATAGCGAAAATAAAAGACCTGAGTGAAGGAGGAAGAGAAGTAAAAGACTTGTGCATTTCAATCTATTTCACCAAAGATGGTGAATAAGATACTTCACAAAGAGCAATCTTGGTGGGAAAATGACAAATTGAGGAGAGAAAGAAGAAAGTGGGTAAGTTCACACAAAAAGTGATGACTGAGAAAAAGAAAGATGGAAACACAGTGACGTGGCAATGCCTAAGAAAGGGGGTCGGAGGACAGACTTTGGGAAAGAGCAGTGACTCAGGAGGAAAGAACGCCTTGAAGGAACGTTCTACATGCAGTCAGAGGGAGAAGACCTCAGCAGTCTCCACTCTCGTGGACATGCCAGGTAAGATACTCTTCGCACAGCTTATGTTTGGTAGAAACCTCTGCATGAGTTTACACAGTGCTGCTTAGGAAACAAGTACCCCTTCTTCTGGGAGTGTAATAAGTAGTACAGAAAACAAAAGGCAATCATTATTTCCATTGCAGGAACATACACCACCCAGGCTAGGTCTTGGGCACACACATTGGCAAACAATTGAGAAGAGCCCTGTACTCGTCTTGTGTCAACAAAAGCTATGATTCCCTGTTCTCTGTGGAAACTGAGTCTCTCAAACGATCTCTAAATGGCAGAAAGGCCCACCTCCTGACCTCAGCTTCACAGAGGAAGCAGTTCAAAGAACAAAGTACCACTACTACAGATGCCAACAAGTGAGAGTGTCCACTCACCCCTCAGATATCCTGTATCCCTGAAAGATACCATGAGGAAAGCCTCTGGACCCTAGATCTGCTTCTTGTCTCCAGCAGGTCAGAACTTAAGTCTTTTTCATGCTCATAAAAGGCAGAGGGCCTGACCTCGAAAGTCTCATGCTGAGCTAGGTGCGTGTGAATATGCTCACTCTCAAGCTCTAGAAAACCATTTATGACCTACACAGTGAGAAGCTTAAGAGCAAAATAAAATTACAATCAAAACTAAGAGGATTCCTCAAGATGATGCACGTAGAGCAGGATTTTCAAGATCTGAAGGAGCAGCTTGCAGGTGGGAGGTGAGGGCCGGGCAAGCGTGGCTGAGAAAATGCTCAGGAATAGGGAGCACCCGGAAGAACAGGAAAGAGGGCATCGCAGTAGTTTGCATTGACATAAAATGTTTGGACAGGAAGGAGTGGGTCCCAGGCCTATGAAAGCGGTTTGGAAATGAAGCTGTGTTTGTTCAAGGTCATCATAGGATGCATGATTAGGACATGACTGAAAGTAATTAACAGGCTTCTCACCCGTCTGCTGATCAAGTTACGACTAGAAGAGTTTCCACGTAGGGGAGGGCTGCCAGGGAGCCAACCAGTGGCTTTGACACCGTCTAGGATGGGATGCTGGATGTGAGCTCAGCGCTGGTGGATGCCTGGGGGATGCCATCAGCACGCTCGCCTCCATTAGCAATGCCCCGCCCCTCCTGGAGAATCATAAAAGGCAAGGGGGTCTGGGACTCCCCAGAGAGCGTGTCTCCTCTATTCCGCTTCACACACCTGTGCCCAGGATTTCCTCTTCCACCATGTCCCGGCAGTCCTCCGTCACCTTCCAGACCAGCAGTCGCCGGGGCTTCAGCACCACATCAGCCACCATCCCTGCAGTCGGAGGTTCTCGTGTCACCCGCTCCTCGGGGGGCAATGGAGGGCTGGGGAGGATCAGTGGCACGGGGACTAGCTTCGGAAGCCGCAGCCTCTACAACCTAGGGGGCACCAAGCGCGCCTTGATCAGTGGGTGTAGCCCCAGCTTCCGGAATGGCTTTGCCAGCAGGGCTGCGAGTGGGCCTGGCTTTGGGAGTGGGATCAGCTGCGGATTTGGCTACGGAGGTGGAGCTGGAGGGGTCTTCGGAGGTCCTGGCTTCTCCACCTCCCCCGCTGGGGGCATCCAAGAGGTCACCATCAACCAGAGCCTCCTGACACCCCTCAACCTGCAAATTGACCCCGCCATCCAGCGGGTGCGCAAAGAAGAGCGGGAGCAGATCAAGACTCTCAACAACAAATTTGCCTCCTTCATTGACAAGGTGAGACACAAGGACATCTCCTCTATTGGGGCTGGGTTGGATGAACTCTCTGAAGGCCCAGCCCCAGAGGGGAGCACAGTAACTCAGCGGCCTCCATGTGCAAAAGTAGTCTGTCCATGCAGTCCTCTGCAACTAACATTTCAAAGGCAGGACGCCCTTGCCCCATAGAACCTCCAAGAAATTTCTCATTGACCTCATTTAGAGCCATGTGGTTTGGTTTGCAGTCAACACCTAGGGAAGGACTAAGATGAGTCCCCATACAGAGGGGCATTTGCACTGACCATGCTAACTCATCTCAAGAATATAGATTCTTCCACGGTGGTCTCTCAGTCCCACCAGTTAGGTCTGTGGAAGGAAACCTGAAAGGACATTGGGGTTGTTGCTTGGACTTTCTCATTGTGACTTGGATTTGTCAATTTATATCATTGCCAGATAGATGTCAAATGAAATAGTATCTCTTCTTCCCCTAATTAGTAAGTGTCTGATTTTTTTTTTTTTTTTGCCTCCTCATTTTCTCAAGATGTCATTCTCTTCTCCTCTGCAGGTGCGGTTCTTAGAGCAACAGAACAAGGTTCTAGAGACCAAATGGAACCTCCTGCAGGATCAAGGTTCCAGGACTGTGAAGCAGAGCCTGGATCATCTCTTTGAGGCTTTCATCAATGAGCAGCGACAGCAGCTGGAAACCCTCGCCCTTGAGAGGGGCAGGCACAATGCAGATCTGAGGAACATGCAGGATGTTGTGGAAGAAAGCAAAATCCGGTAAGTGGGGGAACGAGGAGGCAAGCTTCTGGCCACGTGTGCATCCAAGGACTCCTTGTGAAGAGAAGCAGAGAGGTGAAAAAGAAGCAGATGCCAGTTGCTGAGAAAAGTCACCAAGAGACACTCATCTCATGCCTTGCTGGTAATAAGGAGTCTGTTTTTATCATCTCCATGCATGCAAAAGGGCATTGGCATCCCTACAAAAAACTTACTGCTTACACTGGAAGGTATAATATTATTTCACAGGCAATAAGTTCTTTAACACCACAGGACATGCACTCTAGTAATGAGATGATTTACACGACCAGGATGCACATGAGCTGAAGAGGGGTGGCAAGGGTGAAGTGAACAGGTAAACAAGGAAATCTGACTTTACTCAGAAGGCGTGTTCTGGCTGTACATCATTTTGGCTGCAGGAGGTCAAGTATCCGGCGGACAGGGATGGCCTTAACTAAACACTTAGTAGATTTACCCTTGGTTTCTGAATTGGAGCTCCATCTAGTTACCAAACATAAACTGCTCAGGGGTCACCCTCAGGTTCATAGAAAACATATCCAAATATTCCAAGTAGAGTGCCCTGAATAGATAAAATTGATCCCACAGTTTCAGGAAACACTTGAGGCAGACATTTTTTGAAAGGTGGGGGCAATAAAAATTGCTTCTATAAAAAGATAGAGTTGCATAAGAGCATATTTACATTCCCACAAGTTTTATGTTCACCTTCTAGTCTTGAAAAAAAAAACCCTCAGGTATATTTTATAAAGGGAGACATGGAGATTAAATGAATCACACACACAAAGTCATCCGCAGGTCAGTGGAAGAACTGGAAAGGATTCACAGTCTCTCTGTACTTGCCACACCATGATAGACCTCCTTAGCCTGGGCAAGAGTTAATTTGAACCCTTGCTCAACAGTATACCTCCTCCCCTTACAGGTACGAGGATGAAATGAATAAGCGCACAGCCGCTGAGAATGAATTTGTAGCCTTGAAGAAGGTGAGTGGAAACATCACTCCAAAGAGAAGAAGCAAAATGTGATCTCCAAGTGTGGGTGACCTGACCTGAGCAAAGTCACCTCAAGCTGGAGAGCATCTGGGGAGCTCACACACGCTGAGCCACTCCCTCTGTGCTGACGGGCCCATGTGGCGGTGCTCGAACTTCTGTTAGTCTAGGAACTCAAGTCCTTAGTGCCCACTGTATCACCCACCCTCTAAACCCAAGACCTTCAAAAAGGCTTTTCTAAAAACTGACCTAGAAGGTCCAGGGAAGAGTTTTCATCCAGCTTCCTTCGGGAACCCTGCTTGATGCCAGCATTTCACAGAAGGATCCTATGCTCTCATTTCAGGATGTGGACAGTGCCTACATAGCCAAGATGGACCTGGAGGCCAAAGTTAACTCTCTGATAGATGAGATCAACTTCCTCCAGGCTGTCTTTGAAGAAGTAAGAGTTTGCATGTGTTTGTGTTCCCCTTAGGCTTACACCATGTAAAGAAATGCATAATCTAGAAAGTGTTGCCCACTAATGACCCAAAATACTCCAAGCTAGGACTTGGGGGAGGGAAGTGTTTCCTGAGGATTGAAGGTACTGCACAAAACGTCAAAACTACTTTAAATATCACCCCATGGCAAGAGAGTCCTTAGCAAAGAGGGTGTTCTTGTATCCAAAGTCAGATCACTGTTTAGTAGTCTCAAGACCTGCCAGATAAAGCTCAGAAAGATTAGCTCTCCCCCCATTCTTTGGGCAGCTGTTTCTTGCCTCTGGAGAGGCCTCAGTGCTGTCACTCTGAAGGCAGAGAGCAGGCTCTGGAAAGAGGGAGCAAAGCAGGGAGTGATGACTATCATGATATGCAGGGGGCACAGGATCCTAAAATTCACTCAGTCTTGAATAAATTATGCCAGCAAATGATCAACAAAGGTCATAGTCAAACCTGTATAATATGAATGCAGATAATTCTTACCTACCCAACAGATCAAGGAAACTCACAGTTGGAAATATGGAAAAGTTACACTGGGAAAACACTGCCATTACACTGATTATGGCTCAGAACCTTCGCAGGCATTAGTGCAGGACCTCCTGAATGTCAATGAGTTCTCAAGAAAGGCCTTAAAGACAACTCTCCCCAAATTCCAAAGAAGGGGCTCCTGACGGGTCGTGTAGGTAGTCAGCTGTGTGATCTCCAGAGCCCTTCCGGTTCAGATGTCTCCTGTCTTGTTGATGCGGAATTCATTGGCTTCCAGGAGCTGTCCCACATGCAGGCCCATGCCAGTGACACATCTGTGGTGCTGTCTATGGACAACAATCGCAACCTTAATCTGGATAGCATCATCGCTGAAGTCAAAGCACAGTATGAGGACATTGCCAACCGCAGTCGGGCTGAGGCTGAATCCTGGTACCAGACCAAGGTGAGTGCAGCCACCTGCATGATGTTCTCTGTGGCCTCATATCATTTACTTCTCAGTCACAAGCCCTAGGATACACACAAACATTCCCCTTTATTTTAACTGAGTAGAAACTTCTTTAAGACTATTAAATGTGGACGCCTAACCATGCATACTATTATACAGAGGGACATCTGCCACCCCCACATTACTCAAGATTGCACCATTACAAGGTTATGAGTGAATTCATTGCAGAAAACCCAAGCTGTAGGAGGTCATGAAGTGAATGGGCAATCAGGGAGGGGGAGCAGAAATGACATTAATAAAATCTTCCAGAAAGAGGAGAGATTTTAGACTCAAGGGAACAAAGACTGCCAAAATGGTGAAAATACTTAAGGCTGAGCATAGCAGCCCTCTGGAGCTGGATGATAGGAATAAACACTTGAACAAGCAAGAAAGCCAAAGTAGAGACAATGAAGAAGGCGGCTGAGATGTCCATAATGAGTTACCGACCCAAGGCTCCGGAAGCCAGGAGAAGGTTTGGCTTTGGAGGGGTGTAGATTGGATAATCCAACCAAAGGAGATTCTCTCCTAAATTCTTACACTTTACAAGATAGATGCCCACCCACAAGTGGCCCCTATCCCTTACCTTGCTTGGTGCACTGTGTTTGTCCCTTTTGGTCAGGAGTGTGGTGGGTATGAAGGAAGAGGTCAGGGTTTGTGCAGAGGCAGCCCCTTGATAGTGAGTAGGAGTGCAATGCACTTAACCCCAAGATAAATGGTTTAAATTAATACTGAACAATACCTTGTGTTGTTGTGACTGATCTTCTCTTTAATCAGGAATGTCTGGAAACTGCACCATTTAGCACTTGCAGACCCAACAAACCGAAGTTTAGGCAGGGGCTCTTCTTCAGCTGTGAAAGGCATTATACTTCTCAGTGGAGTCTCTTGGAGAAGACAGGTGTATATACTTCTCCTAAATGTCTGTGCACTGGGTATGTGCCATCAGTTCATATCCAACAACCTGAGTTGTTAGGTGCCATCGAGTTGACTACAACTCGTAGTAGCTCTAAGAACAACAGATCAGAACCTTGCCTTATCCAGCTCCATCGTCACAATTTCTGTCATACTTAAGCCCTTTGTTGCAGTCACGATGTCAATCTATCTTGCTTGATTGACAAAAAGATGGATCGTCCTTAGAATGGGAGTTAATTTTCCTAGTCTTTCAATGAGTACCTCTATATCCTAGGTCCCATCCAACATTAATTCCTCTATCTTCTCCCCTGTTTATGCAGAACTAGTGTTTACAGGTCATTACAATTCATAGGCACTGAGGTCCTACTACCATGCTCCTTCTTGCCCATAATCTTCACACAAGTTGTCTTCCTTGTCTGGCAGCCTTCCCCACTGGCCCCTCTCCCCAACACCTGTCACCTAGGTAACTGTTTCTCATCCGCAGACCACAGCTCCAAGTGTCTTCATTTCCTGAATCACTCGCTGGCCATCACCACCTACTTCCAAATCTAGGTCCAGTTCCTGCATTCTACACTATCTTAGGACCCTGTTCATTTCCATACACTTCTCTTTTTGGGACAACACATTTAATAGTATCCTGACTTTATTAATGTCTCTATTCTAATTAACTACTAAGTTTCAGGGGAGTGGTAGTGGGTAGTCTGTGATTGTTCATTATGGTGTCCCTCGTGGGTGTGTTCAAGAATCATCTCCTGAGTAAATGGGGGGCGGGGGGGGGGGGGGGGTGGTAAATGAATGTCCTGCTTGTGGCACGAAAGGTCAGAGTGTGTGAACAGGGGACACCAGCAGGCATTTGACTTGAGTGACTAAGTCTCTGGTTCTATCAGTATGAGGAGCTGCAGGTCACGGCGGGCAGACATGGTGATGACCTCCGCAATACCAAACACGAGATCTCGGAGATGAATCGAATGATCCAGAGGCTGAGAGCAGAGATCGACAGCGTCAAGAAGCAGGTAAAGGGTTGACTGACCCAAGATCTCTCACATAGGATCTGATAATGTCTAAGACGTTTCTTCCAGATCATTTTTCTATGCTAACAGAACTCCGACTAAAAAGCTCCAGCCCTGAAGAGGCTGTTAGAGAAAAATCCACGCGGGGCTCATGACTTCCTCCCGTCCTTGCAGTGCGCCAACCTTCAAACAGCCATCGCTGATGCAGAGCAGCGTGGAGAACTGGCCCTCAAGGATGCACGAGCCAAGCTGGTGGACCTCGAGGACGCCCTGCAGAAGGCCAAGCAGGACATGGCCCGGCTGCTGAGAGACTACCAGGAGCTGATGAACGTCAAGCTGGCCCTGGACATCGAGATCGCCACCTACAGGAAGCTGCTGGAGGGCGAGGAGTGCAGGTGAGGGCAGATGCACCAAGTTCCACCTCAAAGCAGGTTGTTTACTCCAGCACCCTGGACATTCCTGAGGGTGCAGGCCTCTGGAGCCACTCTTCCCATGGAAAACAGAGCAAAATGTAGGTGGAATTGGACTGTGACAAAGATAACTTCCAGGCCAGTAAGTCATTATCAGAATTGTCTATTTGAAAGACCACGAGGATGCAGCTGGATAGGACAATTTTCTTCTAGGGTTCTGTGAGTTGTAACAACTTGAAGACACATAACAATAATAACATAGAAATTGAGGATCTGAACATGTCAAAGTAATTGATTCTATCAAAGAAAAAAATTGGTTGTGTGGCAGGTCTGGATATATGACCCAAAAGGCTCTGGGCTGAAAAGAAACCCTACTTTGGGGCTTAGAGATTTATGTCTCACTAGCTAACTGAGCTGGGGAAAGCCAGTCTCCTCTTTCTGGACTTCAGTTTCTTGAATAATAGAATGAGGAGAAATGACACAATCCTAAAAATCCCTATGTGAGCTCTGTGCTCTGCCATTATCAGCTGTACAACCCTGGGCAGGTCTCTAACCTTCTTTATAGCTTTTGTCCTTACTGATAAAGTGGTGATAATAATAGCTTAGATAAGTGAAGCACACTGGAGCTTTTAGCATAATGAATGGCATAAAATAAATGCTCAATGAACATTAGTTCATTCAGTTTAGTGGTCAAAGACTTAGACTTGGAATTAAATGACCCTGGCATCTAATCCAGCTTTGTCATTGAGAGCAAGTCAGCTAACCTCTTTGATCTTCAGCTTCTCCATCTGTGAAACCCAGATAATAGTACCAATCTAATGGGGTTGTTGAAATAATTAAGTGGCATAGTGTAAGTAACAGGTACTCAATAAATGTTAACTCCTTTTAATATTCTAAGTATGTGTTTATGAATGAATACCAGTTGAGGCAACAAGATACTTAAGCAAAATTACAGGCTGTTAAGATAATAACAGACTGACTATTGCTAATTATTATTATTTTTATGACTCGGACTCCTCTCCTATAATAACCTCAGCACTGGCTCAGTGCATGACAGTGGTCCATTGTTGAAAGAGAATTGTCTTGTTATATGAGAAACCTTACCTTTTGATTGATGCCAATGTATTAGTTTTAGTTTCCTTAAGATGTTTAACTACTTTAAACCAAAATTTGAGACCCAAGATTACAGGTTTTACTTCTACATATCTCAAGCTCCATATTCTTTTATTAATTAGATTGTTGTATTTAATACAACTAGTATGTAAATAGGTAACTCTAGTGGAAGTAGAGTTCCATAGGGAATTGAGCTTAGAGTATTGAGCAGCTAACCCACAGGCCTCACCTCTCAGGTGGTTCCAGTCCACCAGCATCTACTCAGGAAAAGGACAGGCAATCTCCCCTGTGATTTACAGCCTCGGAAACCCAAAGGCACGCCAGCTAGGAGCTGGTTCCAACTCACCAGCAATGTGTTTGAATATTTAAATCACGTAGACCTGCCCTATTTCTAAAATAAAAATAATAGTTTTTAAATATATTTAACCTATTATATGAGCTGGACTGAGGATTGATGTGTCAGAGTTAGTGAGATTGACTCAGGACAGGGAAGGGTTCAGACCTACTGTACATAGGGTTGCTATACGTTGCAGGCAACTCAACGGCACTTAACAACACAACATAGTATATTTGCTGTTCAGGGTTTTTGTAAAGCCTCTTGATTAGAGTCAACAAGACCTCATGGAGGGCTTTTGTATTTAAAAGTTGGTTGTTACTGTATTTTGGCAGAACATACTTCTAAGTGGTACAGCACTCTTCTGTCAATTTGCTGTGCTGAGGTAACCTGGAGTTGCTGTGATGCTGAACTTTGTGCTATTGGGATGTCAAATGACATAACAGTATTTGGTGGAACTCCTGGTTTAAGAAAGGTTTAGAAGCAGGAGTGGCATCTACTTCCTAAACAACATGCCTCTGGAAACTATGAACTTTGAGAATCTACAATAGTTATAGAGATGCTTCAGGCCTTTTGTTCATAGGGTCACTATGAGTCGTGCTCAACTTGATGGCAATCAACAACACAACATTATAAAAATGCCTTTTCAAATTACCTGAAACAGCTGAATATGTCAGTAAACTTGTTTTCTCCCTCTTTCTCCCAACCAGGCTGAGTGGGGAGGGCGTTTCTCCAGTTAACATCTGTGAGTATTAAATACTTCTTGGGTCATTTGGAGTGTATGAGGTTGTGATTGGGGGAGGTGAAGCACACAGAAGAATGGGGAGCATGCAGTATTAGAGCATATCCTACAGCTAAGGTTTCTTTGAGAAGGCCTAAGGTTTTGAGTCCAGTAAAAAGAGAGTTATAGTAGCGGAGACTCATGTTACAAATCTCACCTCTTTGCAAATGAGACTGCATCACAGAAGCAGGCAATGCGAAGTTTTTAGAAATCTCTCTGCCTGAGTTTATAAGACCCACAGGCCATTCCTTCCACCTCCTAGGATTCCACACTCTCTCCCCGGGATTGCAAGTCTAACTCAGACAAGAACTTTCAGCCTTTGGAGGAAGCCTTCTAATCTCTCATCAGGGCATGGCCTTAGAACAGCATAAAGAGAAATCCCATCATTTAGTCTAGCTCTGCAGAATATAACTGCAGGAAATCACTAAGGGTTTTTAAGGTAGTGAGAGGAGCACAAAACAAAGCAGCTGGTCAGAGCTACTCTGAGACAGGAGAGGCCTTGTAGAGTGCTGACAAGCTGGTGCATGCCAGTGTTGACAGGAGCAGAGCCATCATAAAGCTCAGCTGGCTTTGAGGCCAACAGAAACTACTTTTAAAACCTGTACTGTACACATGAGTTAGTTTTCCTTGATAACAAGTTCATAAAAGTGATTGGTTATATGAAACAATGATTTTGGAAGGCAGGTCCCTCTGAACAACTTAGATGTTCTCCTTCCTTAAAGACCTTGTCTAATGGCTCCAGAAACCCTCAAAGCTAATTTTAGGATTGGATAGAATAATCTCAGTGGCTTCCTTTCTATAAAAAGAAACTACAAGTCCCTTTTTAATTCTATTTTTCTTTTGGCATAGAAGGTACTAGAATTTTTAAAACAATGGATCATTTAAGTTAGGAAAAGGAAAAATTGAGAGGGGCAGAAAGAGTTAACTGAGCATTGGGTTCATCTCTCCATTGGTCTATCAAAAATAACTGAGTATTTTGAGCGTGGGCATGAAGGGAAGAGTATAGATGTCCCCAGGAACCCCTAGGATGAGGGAACACACCAGAGCCAGGGAGGTCAGAGTGAACAAAGCAGCAGGGAAGAGCAAGGCAGAATTAAGGGGGAGGCAAGTAGACTGGAACAGCTTCCAAGAAAAGAGAAGTCTTCAGCAAGGTTTAGAGGGAGAGGAGAGGCACCAATAAGCCATTTCAGATTGGGGAAATGTCCAGCACTACAGTTGGGGGTAGGGGGAGGAGAAATCAAACAAGAAGACAGGGGCATAAGACAGTGATATTACTACGCTGGAGGGAAAAATTAGAAAAGGCACCTGCTGAGACCACTTTCCTAGGATGTCAGGGCACACAGTCCCTGGCACTCCTTGCTGTCTTCCCTCCTGTCCTTGATTCTGACATGTCTCCTCTCTTCTGGCAGCTGTGGTCACCAACACTGTTTCCAGCGGCTATGGCAGTGGCAGCAATATTGGAGGCAGCGGCTACTCCTTCACCACCAATGGTGGTCACAGCCTGGGTTCAGGGCTTGGGGGCTCCGGCTTCAGTGCCACTAGCAGCAGGGGCCTAGGGGGCAGTGGATCAAGTGTCAAGTTTGTCTCCACCACATCCTCCAGCAGGAAAAGCTACAAGCACTAAGTGCAACCATCCAGCTACCTCCCCAGCCTCCTGACACCTGCGTCCTTTCTTCCTTAGGCCCCCTCTGCACTGCGGGGAGGCCTGACATCCTGGCTAAACCTCACTCTCTGGCCTCAACCCTCCTGATGAAGGTGGGAGCCATTCCTGGGCCCCCTCACTGTTCTAGACATGAGAATCCAAAGCCCCCTCACTTTTCAAGATTCATCCTATCTTTCAACTATTCAGTCTTGCGATGCCCCTTTCAGCTCTCCCCTCCTCCTGATGTGGCTGGTGACAAAGAAGACCATCCCAGATGCCATCTCAATAGCATACTGTGGGTCAGCCTCTCTCAGTGTGCTTATAAGCTGCCTACTAGGAGGGGGTAACCCCCATCCCCTCCCTGGAATGTATCTATTAAAATTCATGTGTAATGTGTTTGAGCTCCAGCCCTCTGTTTGGAATGGTATGGAACACAGAGCAATTCTCCTCCTCCTGGCTTCCTCCCAGCACAAGGAGAGCTCAAAACACTTCAGATCTTTCCTATTCCTCTCCCTACCTCAGGGCCAAGAAGGCCGGATTGAGATATGGGGTGGAGGGGAGAGGAGTACAGAAGTACAAGAAAAGCCTCTGGCCAGTCAAACAATTGCCCCGCCTCTGCCTACTTCTTCCTTTGGACACCTTGTTTGGGAAGCCTGAGCTCCTGGGCAGCAGACCTGCCCAGCCTCCTCCTTCTATGTCATGTAGGATAATGCCATCCCCTCCCTAAACCAGGCTTTTCCAGGGACAGTGACGCAGGATAGACCGCCCAGCCCTCAGCCAGCATAGGGACCAATTGTTCCCTGACAGCTTCAAACTTGCAGACTGGAGCAGAGAAATAACAGGCCACTGAATGGGTGTTAAAAGTCAGCCCTGGGGGCAATGCTTTCACACAAGGAGCCACTTAGGTCCATAATTGCAGGCAATAGTGAGACATCCAGGAAGCTCCCACATTCTTGAATTTACAAGTCTCCTGGACCCCTCTGTCAGGCCTGAGCCTCTTCCCAGCAGAACCAAGGGGTGGGTGTTCACAAGTAAAGAGGCCATTTTTGTGGGTTTGCAGGAATACATTCAATGATCAGGACCCAGCTTAGAACTAACAAGAGCTATATGCCAGGAATCTGAAAAATTACTGCCCAGGATCAAAGATCCCAAACTCACTGTCACAGCAGTCCAATGTTATTGTTGTTGTTAGGTGCCTTGGAGTACACCACCACTCAATAACCCTAGGAACAACCAATCTGAATGTGGGCCTATCCTGAGCCATCCTCACAATGTCCAATATGCTTGAGCCTATTATTACAGTCACTGTGTCAACCCATCTTGTTGAGAGTCTTCCTTTCTTTCTCTGACCTTCTGCTTTTCCTATCATGATGTCTTTCTCCAAGGACTGACCTCTCCTGACAACATGTCCAAATTATGTGAGACAAGTTTCACCATCCTTGTCAGAGTAGAACTAAAAACTCAGTAGGGTTTCCAAGGCTGGAATCTGTATGGGGGCAGACTGCCATAGCTCTCCTCTGATGAGCAGCTGGTGGATTCAGATTGCCCCGCAGCCCAACTCTTAACTCACTGCACCTCCAGGGAGTCAAATGACACAGAAGGAGAAAACCATGGATCTAGAAGAGGGTAAAAGTGTAAAACCAAGGGGCTAAAATATGGAATGAATTGTAAGAGAAGATAGTGGGAAGAAGAGAGATGACAGTGAGGACAATTATTAAGTGGTCCCAGTCCTCTCTGTGGGGGGCAAGTGAAGATCAGGGGAAAGGGTTAGAGGAGTTACAGGAGTTACAGGAGATGAGAATTTAGAGATCCAAATTGGAGTCCTGACTCTGCTTCTTGTCTTCAGAAAGTCACCTCTTCTTTCAGAGTCTGATTTTTCGGGCTGTGACTAGCATTGGGGCTTAGAGGATACAACCCAGAGTCCAGCCATATGGGTTCTAGAATGTGCCCTAACATTCACTACCTGCATATGTAGCCAACCAAATCCCTTAACTGCTGTGTGCTACAAAGTCTTCATGTGTAAGAGTAATAATAGCTACCCTATAGTGTTGGGTTAAAACTAAATAAGACAAGTGTACAGAAGCTACCCATAATGTTGATAGTTGCTAATGAGTCAATGCCAACTCATGGTGTTACAGAGGTTTTCTTAACAATAATCTTAACAAAAGCAAATTTCCAAGTCTTTTCTGCTACAATACCACTGAATGGGTTAGAACCACCAACTTTTAGGTTATTGGTCAGTCATAAACCATTAATACTACCTGGAGACTTTCAAAAGAATCTACTCATGAGAGATGCTTGATAAATGGTAGAATTTTATTTTATTATTATTATTATCACCCACCCTCGCAAAGTTACTATGAGATTTAAGTGAAATAATGCTTTGTGATTTACCTACTCCATGGACTGCTACATTGAATACTCAACAAATGGAATTTTTTTTATTATCAATATTATAAGTGACTATGAACTGCTAAGAGAAAAAACAGGTCTATCCTAGAGAGGTGAAACCAGGCTGGTCCTTGAAGGCAAGGATTTTGAAGCTTTGTCTGACATACTTTGGGCATGTTGCCAGGAAGGACCAGTCCCTAGAGAAAGACATCATGCTTGGAAGAGTAAAGGGACAGCGCAAGAGAGGAAGACCCTGGATAAGATGGATTGATTCAGTGACTGGGGTAACGGGGTAGGTATGTTGGAGACAATGACATTGGCTCAAGATAGAGCAGCATACACAGCTGTTGTACATAGGGTAACTATGAATTGCAGGTGACTCGGTGGCACATAACAAAAACAATAGTGGGAAGAGCATGGTTAAGTGCTTGTATTCAGAGTCCAAGACCTGGGAACTAGGAGAGAAGGAGCAGATGAGAGGTTGTGGTGTTATCCTCTCCAGGCCTGGTCCTGCCCTAGCTAGGGTGTTCCCCTCAGTGATTAGTGGGGCAGGAAGACGGGCTGTGGCCAGACATGCCATTGAGATGAACTCAACAGAGTGGTCTTTGATCTTCTCCAGCCAAGCCCAGTTCTTGAAAAGGATAAAAGTCCAAGAGAGTTTGGGAAAACAAGACTTTGAAGGATCCTCTTCCTTTGACATTCTCGAGCCACTGACCCTCTGGTACCAGTTCCCACTATGACCCAACGATCTTCTGTCACCATCAAGTCAGGGGGCACCCGGAATTTCAGTGCTTCCTCAGCCAGCCTCCTTCCGGGCTGCCGGACCAGTTTCAGCTCTGTCTCCACATCCCAGGGTGGGAAGAGCTTCGGAGGTGGCTTTGGGACCAGGAGCCTCCACAGCCTGGCGGGTAGCAAGAGAATCTCCATCAGTGGAGGTTACCGCTCCAGCCGGGCTGGTTATGGTGGTGGTGCTGGCTATGGGCTGGGTCTCGGGGGCATCGGGTACAGAGTGGGGGGAGCCTGCAGTGGGTATGGATTTGGAGGTGGGATGGCATCTGGAGCTGGAGGCATCCATGAGGTCACGGTCAACCAGAGTCTCCTAACTCCACTCCACCTGGAGTTTGATCCTTCTCTTCAGCGGGTTCGGAAGGAAGAGAAAGAGCAGATCAAGACTCTCAACAACAAGTTTGCCTCCTTCATCGACAAGGTGAGATCCTGGGAGCTGGGGAGCCTATTAATGGAGTAGAGGAGATGTGGTTTCCCACCTTGTCGAGCAGAAAAATATCCTGAGTCTCAAAGTCTCTCTAATCTACCACAATGACAGCACTCTTTTGACAGATAAGGAAACATACATTTGACTTAAAATTAGATTAAAGGAAATAGGTTTAGAGGGAGAGGGATGAAGAAAAAGTTCTAAGTTCAATTCATGGATGTAAGCCTGAGTAATGTTTTTTTTTTTGGGGGGGGGGGTTAAATTCTCTCAGGCATATAGGCATCTTCCGAGTAATCTGGATATGCCTGGGAGTTGAGTGGACAACAAATAGGACATTCAAAGCTCTCCTTTTCCCTTTTGTGTGAGGAGAACTGTGACATCCGCCCAAAGTACCATCTTCTGTATGGTCTGGAATCTCATCTTTGGGAGAGAATGTTCATGAAATTATTTTCTTTTGTACAACCTCCATTACATATCAGAGGTAGTTGATTTTTCCTGGAAAGAAGCCATTTGAGAATCTGAATAATTCAGACACCAACCTGGGATTTTGAGAAAAGACGATTAACTAAAAGACAATTTGTTTGACTGTTGACAGAGTCACCTAACATCTCAAGCCTTAGTTGGCTTGAACAGACCAATTTTACTATTCCTTAGAAAGCCTAACAGTCTATGAAATACATCACCACATGGACCCAGATTATTAAATTTGTAGAACTAGCCAGGAAGACTGATATGGTCATAGTTTTTAAACTTTATTCTCATGTAACCCCATCCCACCCAATTTCCTGGGAGCATGGTGGTGAAGGGAATAAGTGGCCCTGTTTTTCCTTGGTTCCTCCAGAGTAGATGTTAAGATTGAGAAGCTGTGACTACGGGGAACCTGGAGTCAGAATCTCCATCCTTCCTCGGATAACCTTGGGGCGGGGGCTCATTAGTTACAGATTCTCCATAGGCACGCAGCTCTCTCCAAAGCCATGTTTCTATCTTCTCTGGAACTGGTTATCATTCCACCAAAGTGCAGGGACTTTGGAGTGAATGTAATTCTAAAAGAGCAAATGAGCAGCAAAGACCAGAAGGAATTTGAAAGAGCAGAAGGAAAGACCTTGCCCAAGGTCACACCCTCCCTTTCTTATTGCCATCAAATTGAAATTACTCACAGCGGACCTTACGGTTGGTTTTCCAAGGTTGGAAATCACACAGGTAGAGACTGTTCATCTTTCTCCCACGGAGTCACGGGTGGGTTTGAACTCTCAGACAAGTACCATCTCTGAGTTAGCAGCACAACTCTCTGCTGACTGTGTCACCATTCCTCTCTTGGTTTAGGCCGAGGGCCACTGAATGACACTCCAAAGCAATCCATCCCAGAGCTCCTAGAATGGGTGGGCAACTGAGACCAAGTTTTAAAATTGGACTGAGCACACACAGTATGCTGAAAACCATATCAGAAAGAAAGGAGCAGAATGGATTGTATTGGTCACTTAGTGAAAATAAACTTCTCTTCAAGTAATAGAATGATGCAGTGGTCTTTTCTTAAATTTCCATGAGCCAGTACAGTTTGATGCTTTGAGATGATTTCCAGGTCTCCTAACCCTTGCTGTTTCCTCCCCCTCTAAATGGAGCCAATTGCAGACTTTTCCCATGCCAACAGCACTAGCATTTGCTTAGCTCTCTACATTCCAGGTTCCTTCCAGGTTCGTGAAGAAAAGGAGCCTGCCACCCAGACTCTGAGATCTCGCAGGAGCTCCCTTGCAGTGATGAGGGTCCCATACCCAGAGCCTTCCAGAAGGCTGCTATATGAAAGTCCTCACATGTATTAATTATCACTACCTGGTGTAGGTGCGGTTCCTAGAGCAGCAGAATAAAGTCCTGGAGACAAAATGGAGCCTCTTGCAAGATCAGAAAACCACCAAGATCAATATCGAGCCCATGTTTGAAGCATATATCAACAACCTGAGACGTCAGCTGGAAGGCCTGGGTGGGGAGCGGACGAGGCTAGAGACTGAGCTGAAGAGCATGCAGGACGTGGTGGAGGACTTCAAGAACAAGTGAGTGGATCCTTGGTCAGCTCCTGGGCTGGAGTCCTTCCCCAAGATCTCTGGGGAAACTAGAGAGAGCAGGAGAAGCAGAGTCTGCTCTCTAGAAGTTTCTACACATAGGACATATGTATGGAATCAGAAATAGTCAAAATAGAAAGAGATCTGGAACTCTGGTTTCAAGAATATGGAGACTTTAGGCTCAGTTTACAGATGACAGCCACAGGTGCAAAGAGATTAATATGCATGACAATGCTTCTAATTCTATATATGAGTGAAGGAAGGCTCTGAGATCAAAACTAATGTGTCCAAACACACGTAAATGGCAAATCGTGAGTTAAGAATTAACCCCATAAAATCTTACTCTCTCTCCCCCATAGACTTCATATTTTAGGGCATTATTTTTATCGTAGGAGTACGCAATGAGGGTTGCAGAGTGGATTATATTTGGGGGTAGGGGGTGGGGTTTGGGGAGGTGCGGGGGGATTGTGTACCAATGAGGGAGTTTTTCTTTTGCTTTTCAAGGAGAGGAGCAAACGGCGGGGGGAGGGGCGGGGGGAGGGGGGGTTTGTGTGGGGAGAAGGGTGCAACAATGAATGAATGAAATTCCAAAATCTCTGTAGATGTTCATTGAAATGAAAAATAAACAAACTAAATTTATAAAAAAAGAAAAAATCTTACTCTCACATTTTTTAACCAAAACCCATTGTTAGCTTACACAGCTATGCATTCAACCTAGCCAAGGACTGGAGGGCTTAAAGAAGGAAGAGATATATTCTGCCTTCTCCTAGAAACACACACACACTTAAATATAATAGTATGTGCATGCCTATAGATGTGAGTAATTTATCTTCCACTTTATTGGTCCAAATAAAATAAGGAACTCAAAAACGAGCTTTGATTATTGTTTATACACAAGAGCAGGAGATCAGATTTTAGAATTGTGCTGTCCAATGTGGCAGCCCATGCAGCCAATGAAATTTAAATTAATCAAGTTTAAGTTAAAGATTCACTTCTGACTATAAATAAAAAGTATACACTAGCCTCATTTCAAGTGCTCAATTTCTACATGTGGCTAGTGTATTTTGTATTTCATAGAACAGATATATTTTTTTCCTTACCACAGAAATTGTGGATGGTGTCATAGAATCAATCTAGAGTGGAGGCTTTAATATTTTGGTTTAACCACTAGTCATGAACTGATCCTAAGAAAACTCTCTGAGCTCTCCAAGCCTCAGTTGCTTTCTCTGTTAAATGAGGCTACCACACTTCACCTCAAGGAGGGTGTTTTAAGTGATAAGACTTGTGCTGAAGTATGTAGTTCTGATAAATGTTAACTACTTGTATTGTACTTGAACACTTGTATGACTAAGAAAACAAAACCAAATTCAGATAATCTGTAATATGTATTGAAACATGAAGTAAAAAAATGTTTTATATAAAGAAGACTTCTTAGAGAAGACTTAAAATTCAAGATTGAAAGAAAAGAGACCGAGGAGGGATATAGAGGGGACTCCTTTGAATCCATGGTTACCGGACAGGGGGTGTTCCAGTAAAAGGTATCAAGGTACAAAGCATAGATGAGGACAGGTATATGGGTCTCAGTGAGGAAAAGTTGTTCAGGTTTCCTAAAAGAGGAACACGAGGAAACAGCTCCGTTTCCCACAGAGAGCAAAGAAGAGGGCACAGTGCAGGAGAGTCAATGGCAGGAATGAGCTTTCCTCTGATGCTTTTAGACTCGCTGTTGTTGAGTTGATGCCAATTCACAGCAGCCTGTAGGACAGAGCAGACCTGCCCCACACGGTTTCCAAGGCTGTATATCTTTACAGGAGGAGACTGCCTTTCTCTCTACCATCCATTAGTTGGTGGGTTCAAACTACCAACCGGGTGTCCAGCAAACATTTTAATCATTATGCCACCAGGATTCTTTACTGGAAAACAGAGGCATTAGAGAAACAAGGGATATTCTGTTTACATATCTATGTAATGTGTGATAATACTTTGTGGTTTTAAAAGAAGACCTATATGTCATTCCATAAATAGAATATAACTTCTGAGAGGTTAAGAAATGCATTTACGCTTGCTTAACTGAGAGGTGAATGGACAATGTCCCCACCACAGCTAACCAGCAATGCTAAAACAGTTGCTGTCGAGTCAACTGAAATCCATGGTTACACCATATGTGTCCAAGCAGAACTATGTTTAATAGGTATTTGAATGAGGGTTTGTTTGGTGTTTTGTTTTGGTTTTTGGTTTTGGGGTTTTTTTTGGAAGTTGATTGCCAGGCCATTCTTCTGAGATTCTTCTCACTAGACTTGAAATTCCAACCTTTTAGTTAGTGGCCAAACACGTTAATCATTTACACTAACCAGGGACACCCCTAGCAATGCTGAGAGGGTGGCATTCAATGATGCTTAGGAGGCCTGGATGAAGAATGGATCACCCAAAATAGAAAAAAAGCCTTCCCAGAGATGAATGAGAAGAAAGTCACCTGCACCTATTTATGGGGGCTGGAGGGGAATGGGGCTGCTTCCTGAAAGCCAAATTAATGAGGAAACTTTGTGAGGTTCTTATCAGCCTGAAGACTATTTCTGAGATTACAGTCAAGCATGGAAAAGACCTAACATAAGAACCTAGTACGGAACTGGAGCTAGGCAGAGTCAAGGCTCATTGTTTGTTTAGATTGGGACAATTTCTCCAAAACAGTCAAAATAATAATAATAATAAGATATATTGGAAAAACTTCAGAGACAGAACCTGCAAGCAGATCCCTTCATGGTGCCCAAGCCTTCTCAGACCAAAGCCGTGAGAAAAGAAACAGCAGAAAGAATGAGGAGTGGTTCTGTTTGACTCCTGTTGTATTTCTTTCTGTTTTGAAAAGCATGGCTGCTTGTTGTGTTTGGAATTTGGAGGGACATATTTGTACCAGGTGAGCTGGGCTATAAGAAAACATTTTCCAGGTCTGCTGTGGAGACGCCCCATTGCCTGACCATCCACAATGCCTACTGTCCTGACCTCACTCCCAAAACATTGGCTTTTTATTCTGCCCACAGGTACGAAGAAGAAATCAACAGGCGCACTGCGGCAGAGAATGAGTTTGTGGTGCTCAAGAAGGTGAGGAGAGAGGGACACACCCCTACTCCCAGAGCCTAGCAGCCTCTAGAGTAGTTATTAGCCACCTCTGTGCCAATAACCTTAGACACAAGGCCTTTTTAGTCTGTGTAACAGGCCTAGGAAGTAGGTTTTGTTTTTAAAATGGGAAAACCAAAATGCATGCAGGCTAAGTAAGTTATCTAAAGTTACCAGGTAATCAGAAATGTACAAGAATTCAGGAATTCAAAGTCCTTTCCTAATTATTATACCCACACTCAACTTCCTATGTAGTCCTGGTCAGAGGTGGGGGTAAAGAAATGGGTTTTGTCCTAAGCTGAGTCTCCATCAACTCTGGCTCGTGAAGGCCAGGCCAGAAGGGCAGGCATCAACTCCACAGAGTCCTGGACCTCACTGGGCACAGACAGAAGGAGCTAGACTGCAGAAGGAGAGGGGGAAAACAATGTGAAAGGGAGGAAGCAAATCTATTAAGGGAAAGGAATAGGGGTGCCACCACAGACTTCAGGCAGAGGTCCAGGGAGCCCAGGGGCATTGGAAACCCAGGGCCTGAAACAAGTGCCGGCCTCACCAAGCTGAGGTGACAGAGGAAAGTTTCCCCTTTGGGGTCGGCTGAGGAGCAGGGCAGGCATTCCCTATGGGCTCCAGTCCTCACAGTTTGAACTCCTTAAGCTCCACTTTACAACCTAAAATAAAAAAACTCCTTTATCTCCATGAATGAAAGTTAGTTCTCCCACCTAACCAGCCACCTGAGGAGGCTGGTGAGAAAAGTGAAACTCAGGGATACAATGTGTTCTGTTCCTCAGGACGTGGACGCTGCATACATGAATAAGGTGGAGCTAGAGGCCAAGGTGGATGCCTTGACTGACGAGATCAACTTCCTGAGGGCCTTCTACGAGGCGGTGAGGAGTGTGCGGACCCTCAGGAGGGCTGTGGGCTGCTGGGGACACAGAAGCCATTGAGTCTTTCCCTGGTCTTTCTGCTCTTCTCCCCATCCTGGGGTGGAATTCATGGGGCAGATGTTGCTTCTCCTAACAAGAGAGAAAATGAGGTTCCCTGGGGCAAAGGAGAAATTAATCTTTGGCCACTTGGGTCAAGCATACCTCATTGTCAGGGGATGGGGTGGAACGTGGTGCCCTGTTGCTGAAAAACACTGGCTTCCAGAGGGCTATCTGAGCACACTGACTGCCCTGCCGAGCCCTGCCCAGATTTACTTGTCGTTCTTCCTAGATTAGTTGTTGCTATTGTTCTTATGTGTCATCAAGTCAGAATGGACTCGTCACTGACCTCCAGCAAGCTTTCAGGGGCTATAAATTGCACAAGAAGAGAGTGCCACTTTTTTCCTGCAGACCCACATTGGTGAATTTGAGCCATTTGCCCTTGGGTTGGCACCACAGCTCCTTACCACTAAGCTTCCTAGTGTACTTGTTGTTATTATTGTTGTTGTTGTATGCCATTGAGTGGGAGCTGAACCCTCGAGCAGGTTTTCAGAGGCTGTTGATTGCATGAGGGGGGATTGCCCAGCCTTCTGCAGATTTACATGTATGTATGCAACCACACACATTCATTGGCAGCTATTGTGTTCACACACAAGCCAGTTGCCTGATTCTAGGTAGGACATACAATTTTGCTTTTCCAGCAAATTCCTAAATGATGCTGATGTAGTTAGTCCAAGGTTCACCACTTTTGAGAACAATCGCTATAAATAATCCTAAGAAAAAAAAACCAAAACCCAAGTATTAACTAATTGTGGGTTTACTATTCAGAAAGAATCCTAGAAATAACCTTATACTTCTTAGTAAAAAGATAATGCTGTTGTTGTGTGTACCATGGGGTCAGAACTAAGCCATGGCTGACCCTCTGATGGGTCGGGTCTTCAGAGGCAATTAATTGCATGAGAGGAGATTACCCATCTTTCTCCTGTGGAACAGCTGGAGGATTTGAACTATGTGCCTTCAGGATTGCAATGCAGCTTCCTACCACTAGGCCACAAGAGCTCCCTAAATAGATAATAGACATAGGTTAAGATGGGTGAAGGGAAAAGAAATATACAGAAAATAATAATAATAATGTGTTGACATCACTTTTTCTAATTCTCACAAAAATCTCAAGACTTCAGTAGTGCGATTGTCCCCTCAGAGATTTGGAGACGTTATATGACTCACCTGGCAGATCTAAGAGTTGAGTCTTTAGCACTCTGCCCTTTCTGCTTTTTGGAGCTGATGTTCATTTCCCTTTCCTAAGAAGGAAGGGCCTCTTGGCAAAGAGTATTGAGAAGAGGCTGAACTTTCTGGCTCCTTCTGACTCAGTGTCTTTCACACGATGCTTCCTTTATTTGGTGTGAAGGGTTGGGATTCCCAGAATGTGAGACATCAATGTGCTGGCAGGTCACAACAAAGTGCATCTCCTTGACAACAGGAATGCCTTCTGGAGATTTCTGGCTAACAGTACCTGTGCTGCTGCTCCCTCTGAGATGACCTAATGAGGAAGGGCAGTTCTAACTGAGTGACCTCCCTAATGATTGGCTTTGGGGGTTTTTTGTTGGGTGGAGTTTTATTTTTGCCCTTTGAGACCTAAACAGGCTCCCTACCCCAACAATGCATGTGAACCTTCTCTCAGGATCTCCTCTGGAGGTCAGGTCACAGTCTCCCAACCTACACACACACACACACACACACACACACATATATATATATATATACCCACATTCACCACACTTTGCTCAGCTCTCCCATCTATGGTTCTTACAGGAGTTGGCTCAGCTTCAAACCCAGATCTCAGAGACCTCTGTGGTCCTGTCCATGGACAACAACCGCTGCCTGGACCTGAACAGCATCATTTCTGAGGTCAAGGCCCAGTATGAGGACATTGCGAACCGCAGCCGGGCTGAGGCTGAGTCCTGGTACCAAACCAAGGTGAGGGAACTAGTCAACTCAACTCAGTTAGGCTCAAAGCACCAGGTACAAGACCAGAATGACAAATACAACTAAGACAAAGGCCTTGGCCTCTTGGACCTTATGTGTTGAGATTGATCCTAACCCTCTACTCTGAGCATTGCCTCAATGCAGCACTGTCAGAACCTGGAGGAATAAATAGCCACATCACAGCAAGGCCCCGCCCCCAGAGAAGGGCACGCCTCCAATACCTACAGCAGAGAGGCAAGGTACAGCTGGACAGTAGTGACCATCAGTACCAGCAGGGGGCACAGAGGTGAAAGGGAAGAGGTTTTGTTTCCTGGCAGCAACTGTAGGATCAAAAGAATAGAGGTAGAACTAGCTGTAGAGGGACTGGAGGGCTTTCGAGACCACCCAAAACCACGGGCAAAGACTTGGAATAAGTCACAGAGTAAGGTTTTCCGCATTAAAGCAAACACTCAGAGTGAAGGGGTCACTGGAGATGGATAAACTATGAAGATAAAAATCCTTGTTCCCCATAACATAATGGGAGGATTATTTCAATTTCCTGAAAAGGAGAGAGCAGACAAGAAAGGGAAAAAGATGCATAAGCACCAAAATGAGGAGAGCCAGAAAATTTTAAGGAACAGGGTGAAAGTTATCCTGCTTTAATTTGTGTAAGTTTCTGTGGTAGAAATTTTCCTTTACCCCCTCCAAACCTTCAAGTAAACTTAGCATTGCATCAAAAACAAACAAATAAGCTCGCTGACCCCAAGCAGCTGAAGCCTTCTCTTCCTGGCTTGGCCGTCCCCTGATGCCCTGCATGCACGCCTCACACAAGACCTCCTTTTCCCCCAGTACGAGGAGCTGCAGCGGTCTGCCGGCCAGCACGGCGACAATCTCCGCACCACCAAGACGGAGATCTCTGAGCTGAACCGCATGATCCAGAGGCTGCGCTCAGAGATTGAGAACGTGAAGAAGCAGGTAGGGATGGGCTCACAGGGGTCGTCCCAGCCATGCCTTCACATCCTCACAGCCTGTGCCTGGCCCTAAGGCTGTCCATGCAGAAAGACGTCATCCCCAGTGAGTGGGCCTCTCCAGATTGTAGTGGGGTTGCCCCCTGACAACTAGGGATGCCAAGAGGTTCTTTGTGAGGCCAAAACATCAGTGCTTCTAGGAAAGGTTTTAGCCTCTGGAGGCAAAGATGGCAAGACCTTGACTTCCTTCATTTACCCACTATGCAAAGAATTAAGAAATGATAGCAAACCACAAGCAAACCCACTGCCTTGGAGTCTGATGGACTCATAGTAGCTCTCTCTGTGACAGAGCAGAACTGCCCCCCGGAGTTTCCAAGGGAATAATCTTCTGCTCCAGAAACACGGTGCTCAGCTTTCCCCCAGAGCTGGATGATAGACTCAAACCATTGACATTTTGGTTAGCAGTCAAGTGCTTTAACCACTGTGCCAGAGCTTCTTTCAGTAATGATCAGAATCTTGAAACTATTTTTTCCTCCCTTGGTAGGCCTGCACAAGGTAGACAATAATCAAGTTTACTTTTTATTTATTTATTTTTTCTTTTTTGTGAGAAAAATTTGTATTTAGATTTAACCAGCTGGACTGAGTTTAGATGATCCCACTTATGTTGGCAACATACAAAGCAACATAGCCAGGAGCAAGTTGAACATAGGCCTTCTTCTCTCCACCAGGCCTAATCAAAGTGTTGACCTTAGCTACATCAATGTCATAGAGCCTCTTTACAGCTTGTTTGATTTGGTGCTTGTTGGCCTTGACATCCACAATGAACACAAGTGTGTTGTTATCTCCTATCTTCTTCATGGCTGACTCAGTGGCATAGTGGTCAAGCTTGTTTCTCCTGGGGGCGCTCTTCCAGGGGTGTTTGGGCTGCCTTCGGAGTCTCAGCATCTCGGGCCACTGGAAGGTGGCTGACGTGCAGATATTCTTTCTTTTTTTTTTGGCTGTGGATGCCCTTCAGGACTGCCTTCTTGGCCTTAATGCCTTTGCTTTGGCTTCAGTTTGGGGAGGGGCAGGGCTTCCTGCTTCGCTTTTTTTTTTTCTATATTTTATTAATTTTCATAAACATTTACAGAGATTTTGGGTTTCCATTCATTCATTGTTGCACTATTCTCTCTACCCTCCTCCCAGTTTGTTCTTGTCCAAATGCCACAGTGCTTGTCAAAGCCAGTTCTGATTAATCTTCTTTGTCAGTGTGTCCTTTGCCATTCCCTATCACTCCTCCCTGAGAGAGACTTCACCCTGAGTCATAAGGAAAAGGGGATGGCGTATTCTCTTAGCTACTTCCTGCTGAAAAGGGACGCTGTGGGTTTCAGGGTGAAGATCTTCCCTCACTACTCTAAAGGGCCCCTTTGGCAGTAGGAAACACATAGACTATTATGGAGATTGATTTTGGAATTTAGATGCACTCTTATTGATTGTGCTTGGCCGTACATGTTCATATCCTTGAAGATGTATCATGGGGGTGTTGCAACCTAGAAGACACAAATTTGACTAACAAGTTATAAGTACATGAGTCCAAAAATTATGGAAAAGTAAAAGAAAAGATTCTTTCATTGGTGCCATCTTTGTAAAAAGCCAAGTTTAATTTTTAAAGATAATGATGCCCCAACCTCCTGCGCATTATTAGATCCATCCCAGGAGATTTGTCTTAGGGGTGCACCTAAGTCCACAGTGCACTGCTCATTCACCTCTGGGGATGATTTCACGTGTTCCTCTCTCCTCCTGACAGTGTGCTACCCTCCAAGCTGCCATCGCTGATGCAGAGCAGCGTGGTGAACTGGCCCTGAAAGATGCCAAACACAAGCTGGCCGAGCTGGAAGATGCCCTGCAGAAGGCCAAGCAGGACATGGCCAGGATGGTGCGTGAGTACCAGGAGCTGATGAACGTCAAGCTGGCCCTGGACATCGAAATTGCCACCTACCGCAAGCTGCTGGAGGGCGAGGAATGCAGGTGGGCTACCTTCTACCTCTCATGGCTCCAACAGAGACCATCCATGGCTACTTCAGTGTCAGAGACCACCTGGGAAACACACTATCAGGATGCTGGATAGAAATCCCAAAGACTCTGTTCAAAAGCAGCTTCTCCCATGAGGAAAGCATCAGTTACAGTTCCTCCTGGGTTACCCAGCATAGGGGCCAGTGTCCACGGCTTTAAAGGAGTGGGTCCATGGCTACCTAGAAAGGCTGTGACCAGAGTTACTTCTGTTCGGCCCTGTTACAAATGGCAGCGTGCTCAGCATGAGTTCTAGTGCCTCTCATGCTACCAGCCTGGCATGAACCCCATGATCCATTTCTCTCTATATTTTTAAACTAATCTCTTCTAGGTTTCCCACTACATATTCATATTCATTTCCTAAAGCTAATTAGATAAATTACAAGCCTGTGAAACACTTAGCATAGCTCCTCACATTCAGTTAGCACTATGGGCTGATAAAGAGATGTAGAGTTTGAATACAAAGAAGCCAGGGTTCTTTATTTTCTCTACAATGAAATTTCTCGAGAGAGACTCCATCTTCAGAGGGACTCCATCTTCCACCACCCTCTGTAACAAAACTCCTGAGTAAACCGCTGTGAGAAGGAAAAAAAAAAAAAAAATTTCTCTTTTTTTCCCTGCCACAGACTTACTGGAGAAGGTGTTGGACCTGTGAATATCTGTGAGTATCTTGGGATGCTAGAAAAGGGAAAGACAGTAGCTAAGACCCTCTTATGGGCTCTGCAGCCAGTTACTGTCAAGTCAGTTCCAACACACGGCAGCTCCATGTGTGTCAGAGTCAAACAGTGCCCCATGGGTTTTCAATGCGCCACTTCAAGAAGTAGATAATTATCCTCTCTTCTGAGGTGTCTCTGGGTGAACTCAAACTGCCAGTCTTTTGGTGAGCAGTTGAACAAGCGATGGTAAATTTTTGCCTTCCATAAGGGAGACCCAGGTTAATTCCTAGTCAATGAATCTCATGCACAGCCACCACTCATTTTTTCAAGAGAGACAGGTACATGCATGCTGCTGGGATGTGAACAGGTTTCAGTGGGGCTCCCAGACTCAGGCAAAGTAGGCTTAGGGTTCTGCTTCTGAAAATCAGACAATGAAAAGCTTAGGGATCGCAAGTCCAGCCCACAGCCAATAATGGAGATGATGTAGACCAAGCAGTGTTTTGTTCTGTCGTGCATGGACGTGAGTCAGAGGCAAAACAATGGAAGCTAACAAGAAGGGGCCCTGTGGAGACCTGCTTCCTTTTTTGGCATCCATGTGGGGACAAGAGAACTTCTCAGAAGTGGGGCAGTCCACCCACTATAGAAATTAGAGTGGAGCTCAGGGACTTTTCTCCTCACTCTGGGATAGTCTCCCTGGAGTTTGCAGGTGATCCCTTACTCCCAGTGATAGCCCGGCCCCACTGAGGTCACATGTCCACAAGAAGTGATTTCACCTCAGAACTTGGCACGGGAGAATCAGTATTATGGAACAAGGCTTCTTGCACAGGAGGGAGTCTCTCATCTAAATGCCTCATGTTCTCAGCTGAGTTCTGGTAGGAACGCAAACTAACCCTACCCAAAGAGTCAGAAAGGCCTGCATTTAGATTTTAAACCAATTAGTTTGGCACATCAAGCAATGACTAACTTAATTGACTCGGCCTCAACTCATAAGAAGACCTAATAGTCTCACAGAATGACCCACTAAGATTCAGAAAGCTGTTGAAAAGCTCAGCATTTAGGCAATATTAATAGGAGCATACAGAGCTCTGGTAGCACAGTGAGCAATATGCCCTGCCAATAATTGAAAGGTTGGTAGTTCAAATCCACCAGCCATTGCTTGAGACAATGATAGGCAGCCTCCTCTCATAAAGATTAACAGCCTTACAAACACAGTGGAGGGTTGCTAGGAATTAAAACTGACTGGATGCAGTAGAATTTTGGACTAGGAGTATGGGAGTCCCAGGCAAGGAGTGTAAAATCCCTGTAGGTCCATCCATGTGCATGAGATCACATTAGGAAGGCTGACAAGCCATAGGAGTGAGGGATTAGAAACAGCTAGTAAATGGAAGAGGAATAATCATCTGGGGGGAAACGACCCAAGAAGGAGGCTGGAAAAATACCTGCAAATATTTGACAGCCTGTAGAGAGCTGTGCCAGAGGTGATGGACTCCGCGTAACTGAAGGTATTGGAGCAGAAGTTAGCAGAGTGCCTCTCAGTGATGCAATACTAAATGATATTATTGTGATGGAATTCTAAGATGGGATGAAGTCCATCTAGATGTAGGGCTTCTTCCAAGATGGAAGTCTAATTCTATAACAGTCACAGATAAGGGCTGGACATGTCGTTGTGTTGTTGTGTGCCATCAAGTCAGAATCAACTCATAGCTGATGCTCCAATGGGTTTTCAGAGGCAGTAAATCTCATGGGAGGAGACTGTCCACTCTTCTCTCATGGAGCAACTGGTGAATTCGAACCACATAACTTTGGGGTTGCAGCACAGGTTCTTCCCACGAGGCTACCAAATCTCCCTGAACATAGCATTGTTGTTGTTGTTGTTGCTACAAACCATTGAGTAGGAGCCAACCCACAGCTGACTCTCCAGCAGCTTTTCAGAGGCAGTAAATCATATGGAAGTTGACTGTCCATCTTTCTCCTGCAGAGCTGCTGGCAGATTCGAACCACATACCTTCGTGTTAGCAGCACAGCTTCTGACAACTAGGCCACCAGAGTGCATAGCTTTTCTGGTGTGTGTGAAAGTGGACATGTCATTTGCTCTCTTTGTGCCTCTATTCTTTCCCCTATAAAATGGGGGTACTCATAGTCATGGATCCTCTGGGGCCTCAATTGTAGAAGTCTTTGTGGTCGCAGCTGTGAATAATCTTTGAAAGCTGTGAGAGAGGATGGTGAATGCAGGCTTCCTCTCTAACTGTGTGCCTCTCAGGGTCCTGATGAGATTCCCAGCCCTTGAGGCCCTGAAGGGAGGGAGGGTTGGCCTAGAGCAAAACATCATGGGAGTGGAGTAGGCATGACAATGAACGGCATTCAGCTGGGAAGTACGTCTTGGGAAACCTGAGGAGTTTACCAATATGCCCTGTGATTTCTCTCCACAGCCGTGGTCTCTTCCTCCAGCGGCACAGGCTACAGTGGGGGCGGAGGCCTCTGTGTAGGTGGGGGCGGCTACAGCAGTGGCCTTTGCTATGGCGGGGGCAGCAGTGGCTTCAGCTCCTCCAGCAGCCGCAGCGTGGGTGGCAGCAGCTCCAGCATGCGCCTCATCTCCAAGACCTCCTCCACCAAGAAGAGTTACAGGAGCTAAAGTGTCCCACCCTCCTTGGCTGCCTCCCCCAGTGCCTCTAAGATTTCCAGCCCTATGACTTGACACTGCTGACTAAATTCACCTTGTTCATCCCTCTGAGATAACCCACAGATGTATCCAACTTGTTTCCCCACTTAGAGCCCACAAGGGTCCAAAGAATTTTTATCAACTAACAACTGTTTCCTACTGGCTGTACTCTGGGAGGGTTCAGAAATGAAAAGAACCTTTGCCCTTTGGAAACTTCCAGAGTAGAAATGTGGTCAACCTTTCTCCTTGTGTCTAACTCTAATCCACTATAACCACAAGATGATTAGTTCAGTATTTGGTTGGGGTCTTGGAAGCCCTAGTGGTTAAAAGATTTGCTAATGGTGGCCTAGGTCCTCTGAGTGGTCCAGAGGTCTAAGGACTTGTGCTGCCAACTCAAAGGCATGCAGTTTGAACCTACCAGCTGCTTTTCAGAAGAAAGATGGGAAATCTCCTCCTTGCAATTTACAGCCTCTGAAAATCCACTGGAGGGGCAGGTATGAATTGGTTCTAACTAGATGGCACATAACTTGGAAGTAGTTCAACGCTATCTAGGTCAGCATTTCCATGTGTGTCATTTTTAATGAGAGACCGAAAATGTCCTTGAAAATTGCCACAAGGATTCCCTTCTGCTTTCCCTTCCCCAGCCAATTCTCCCAACAATTCTTAGAAGAAGAATATTTGAACAAGAAATCAGCAGCCTTAAGATACTATCAACTGTTGATTATTCACAGGATAGAATTACTTCATCTAGAATTGTTTTTTTAAAAAAAAAATTCTAAATTCTCAGTGGCTTCTTGTTGTTACTGTTGTTATGTACCATATAGTCAGAACTGACCCATAGCTGACCCTCTAGTCGGTTTTCAGAGGCAGTAAATTCCACAGGAAGAGCTTGTCCATCTTTCTCCCACGGAGCAGCTTCTGGATTTGAACCATGTGCATTTGGGTTGGCAATACAGAGCTCCAAGTCTTGAGACTATATTAAGTAGTATTTTACAGCAAAATTCCTTCCAAACCTGCCTCATTTAAAGCAGTATTAAGATCACTTTCCCTTAAGAAATGTCCTGATGATGATGGGGAAGGAGACACGCTGATGGGAAGGTGTAGAGAAGCCGGCTCAGCACAAGATGCCTGATGCTCAAAAAAAGAGACTCTAAGTCCCCTGTGTTAAGAGTTGTGTTAAGAGATGTCCTCCCAGAAAACAGAGTTGCAGGCTCAGGACCTTTCCCTATTGCTCTGTGCTAGCCACGGGTCTGCTCTAGGAAGTTGTCCTTCTTGGTCTTGCCATCTACCACCCTCTTAAGTCTCTTTATCTCAACCTTCTCCTTGCCCCTCTTTTCTTCTACTCCCACCCTCTTTCTGCTTGACAACACAGTTCTTGCTATCTTTCTCCTCTGTTGTCTTTCCCTCCTCTGATCTTTCCTTTCCCCTCCACTGTCTCTAAAATGGCCCTCCTCTTTGCTGATTTCCCTCCATCCAACCATGGTTAGAATGCAAGATCCATCCTCCTCCATCGAAATCCCTGCTCCATAGGGAGAGCCCAAGATTGCAAAGCTTGAGGAGAGAGATTCTTCTTCCTTTGACCTTCTTCTTCATTCTGATGGGGCATGATCCAAAGGAGAGGTGGTTTAGGGCAGAGTGGAGAGGAATAGGGTAGGTCTGGAGAGCTTTGTTAAATGTTATCATGGTATAGTTTCTCTCTTAAATCTGAGCAGTTGTAAATCCTCAAAACACCTGCCATTTATTCAAGACCAAAATGCATTCTGACAGAAATCAGAGAACGGCTGCCATACTGCTAGCTTGAAGACTGGAGAGTCAAGTATTTTAGAATAAAGCCAGGCCCGCTTTGATCATTGCAACCCCTGCTATAGAGGCAGCCTGCTCACTTATGCTTGCCCATTTCTTGAAACTGCTTCAATAAAATGTCACTGAGCTGTCTGTTGACCGCGTCTGTCTCTTGTCTCACCCTCAAAGCTTGAGGCTGATGGGTTCCTGGGAGAGGTGCCTTCCCTGCTTGGAGAATCTCATTAATTTTGCCACTCCATGCTCTGAAGCTCTGGTCCTGAGCTCCAGGGAGACCAACAGTGCTCTAAAGACCATCCTGTGGCCAGACTATGTTTAAGGGATGTTCTCCTATGTTCACAGCTCTCCAAATGAGCCCTGCTCTTCCCTCTGGTAGAAAATGGCTCTTCTCGCTGCTCTGATCTTTCAATAGTACTATCACCTGACACTGCTTCCCAGTCCCACTTATTCCGGGGAAGAATGGAAATCCCTTTCTTAGACATCCTGCAACAAGGGGCTCCCCACACAACCTCTGCATACCACTATTCTCTGTGATGGTCTCTTGTTAGACCCCTGACCTCCCTAAGCCCTAATCTTGCCTCTCAACTACTCTAGGACTCAAAGTCAAGACCATTAAAGAAGTGGTTGTTGTTGTTGTTGTTAGCTTCCTTCAACTCCTGACTCATAGTGACCCCATGTACAATAAAACCAAATACCACCAAGCCCTCTGCTGTTTCTGTGGCCAGTGGTCAGACTGTCCATGGGTTTTCACTGGCTGGGTTTCTGGATTGCATAATTAGGTCTTTTTTTATTTTTTTTTTCCCCAGTCTGCCTTAGTCTGAAAATCCAGTGAATCTTGTAAGGCATACCTCATTTTATTCTGCATTGTTTTAGTGCACTTTCACAGATACTATGTTTCGCACAAATTGAAGTTTTTGTGGCAAGCACGTCTGCAGGCACCATTTTTCTTACCTCACACACACACTTCACGTCTCTGTGTCACATTTTGGTCATTCTTGCACTCTTTGGAATTTTTTCCTAACTGCCCACTCTGATTCATAGCAACTCTCCATCAGACTCCATGGCTGTAGATCTTTACAGAAGAGACTGCCTCCTTTTTCTCTACAAAAGCAGCTGGTGCATTTGAAACACTTTCATATAAATGCTACACAACAAGAGGAGTTTTAACAGATTACAGTGTAGTGTAAAAGTAATTTTTATATGGACTAGGGGGGAAAATTCACGTGAGTCCATTTATTATGATAGTTGCTTTATTTTAATGGTCTAGAATCTAGTTCACATTCTCTCTGGCTCATGCCTGTACAGATCATAGCAGCAAGCACTTGAGAATTCTAGAAGAACAAGGACCTTTTACATTTTAATTTCCTAATCAACAGGTAAAAGGACCCCTGGTGGCACAGTCCTTAATGTATTGGGCTGCTAATCAAAAGGTTAGCAGTTTTAATCCATTAGCTGCTTCCTGGCACAAAACTAACTAGACTCCTGTAAAGATTTACAGTCTTAAAAACCCACTAACGGGTCGGCATGAGCTGGAACTGGCTGAATAGCAGAGGTGGGTTTGGTTTAGGAATTTTCTGGTAGGAAAGCTGAGGAGCAACAACCATTATCTGGGCTGGCGGCCCATTTCCAATTCCTAACCCAGGCTTCTCCCACCCAGAATAGCAGAACATAAGGTAATAGCATGGGATTAAATCCCACCTTCTTCTATACAAACTGGGGGACATTACATCACCACTCTGCTCTCGACTCAGGTGGCTTAGTGGTACGGAATTGTGCTTCCTGTACAAAAGGCAGGCGGTTTGAATCCACCAGGTGCTCTGTGGGAGGAAGATAGGCAATCTCCTCCTGCGTGATGTACAGCCTCTGGAAATGCACTGAAGGGTCAACTGTGAGTTACTTCCAACACGACAGCACATAATAACCACCACCTTAGCAACGGTAACTAAATCATGATGTTCTCATAAGAATTAAATGAGATAAAGGTTGGAAAGGGCTGAGTGTGGTCCCAGAAAATAGTATGGCGCCAACCAAAACCTAACTCAATGCCATCAAATTTATTCCAATCACAGTGGCCTTGTCAGACACAAAAGAAGTTTCCTGTAAATCTTTATTAGTGTAGATTGCTTCAATGGCACCACCAAATGAAGGTTAGCAGTCAGCTATGTCAACCACTAAGCCCCTGCAGTCCCTTACCATGTCAGCATTCAATAAATGCTCCTGCCTTGTTGTTGGATCCAACCGAGCATGGAAATTTTCAAATGATATCATTAAATCACACATAAGCAAAATCCTGCTGAAGATTATCCAGAAACTACTGGAACAGGACATTGACAGAGAACTACCAGAAATACAAGCTGGATTTAGAAGAGGCCGTGGCACTTGAGACATTATCACCCATGCCAGATGGATTTTGATCAAAAGCAGAATACCCAGAAGAATGTCTATCTGTGTTTCATTGTCTATGCAAAGGCTTTTGACTCTGTGGACCACAACAAACTGTAGTAGCTAACTTTGAGAAGAAAGGGAATCTTGGAACACTTAACTGGGCTCATGTGAAATCTATACTTGGACTAGGAAACAGTCCTCAGAACAGAGCAAGGAAACACTACATGGTTCAAAATTGGGAAAGGAGTGTGTCAGGGGTGCATCCTGTCTCCGTAACTTTTCAATCTTTACATAAAACAGGTTTTTTGAGAAGCTGGGATTTATGAAGAGGAATGTGTCATCAGTATTTGAAGAAGATTCATCAACAACCTGCATTACGCAGACGACACACCTTGCTTGCTGAAACTGACAAGGACCTAAAGTGTTTGCTGCAGAAGATCAAGGACTATAGTCTTCAATATGGATTGAAGCTCAACATCAAGAAAACAAAGATTCTCACCACTAGGCCAATTGACACTACCATGATAGATGGAGAAGAGATTGAGGTTCTTAACAATTTCTGTTTGCTCAGCTCCACAGTCAACATCCTTGGCACCAGGAGTCAGAAAATCAAAAGACAAATTGCATTAGGGAGGTCTGCTTTCAGAGACCTTTCCAAAGTGCTAAAGAGTAATGAGGTCATTCTAGGAACTAAGGTACACCTGATCTAGGCCATAGTTTTCACAATTACTTGCTGGACAATGACTAAGAATAACAGAAGAAGAATCAATGCCTTTGAGTTGTGGTGCTGGAAAAGAGTATTACTATGGACCACCAAGAGAACAAACAGGTCTGTCTTGGAGAGGATGAAACCAAGTTTCTCCTTCTTCTTGTTATGTACCATAGAGTTGAAACTTACCCATAGCTGACCTTTCAGTAGGTTTTCAGAGGCAGTTAATTTTATGGGAGGGGATCAATCATCCTTCTCCCAAGGAGCAGCTGGGGGCCCTGATCATGTGCCTTCAGGATTGCAGTGCAGCTTCTTGCCATTAGGCCACCAGAGGCAAGAATTTTGAAGTTCCGTCTCACATACTTTGGGCATATGGCCAGGAGGAAACAGTTCCTTGGAGAAGGACATCATGCTTGGTAGAGTGGAGGGATATCGCAGGAGAGGAAGACCCCAGATGAGATGGATTGACACAGTAACTGAGGTAATGGGGACAGGTGTGTCCATGAGACTGGCTCAGGATAGGGCAGGGTTCAGAGCTGTTGTACATAGGGGTCACTATGAGTCACTGGTGGCTTGATGTCACATAACAATAACAACCAAAAAAATCACATGTGGAAAAGAAAAATCAGCCTGTGACAGCAGAGGTTTCACTGATGGATTTGCTGGAAGGGAGGCAAAAAAAGGAACTTGAAGCACTTCAAAGAGTTGTGTTTGTGACCTGGATGCTGGGAGGAAAACCTGCATCCTCATCCTTCAGAGAAGTCCTCGAGCCAGAGCAGGGAGACCTGGGAAGGCCCGGAGGAAAAGGGAAAAGAAGAAGTGAAATCCCAGGCTAATAGCTGAAGTCAATGCAGCTATGGAGGATCCAGAAAAGGAGAGAGAACACGTGGGCCCCTTCCTCCCACTTCAAGTACCAGAATCTTCTCTTGAGTCTCCTGAACCCAGTTGCACTAAATGGCCCTCGGAGAGAAGCCACTACCTGGAGCCTGGCTGGCCTCAGGAGCCCTGATGGGAGTGGGAATAGGTCAGTCAAAGCCCAGCACCCCCCCCTTTGTGACGTGGAGCAGAGTCCAGCCTGCTTTAGGAAGGCTTCTCCCATTCCCAAACCACCACCACCCCCAACCTGGGGACCTCTAGAATAATACAGGAGCCCAAGGAAGTCACTTGGGTCTGGAGCAACCTCAGAAAACCATAAGCACCACCACAGGGGAATAAAGCATCCTGAAGCCTAATTTTCCCTCTAATCCCAGGCTAGTCAAGGTTTATAATTCATGCTCCTCTCTTCCCCTGTCCTATGGAACAGCACCAAGTCCCAATTTTCCCATTCCTCGAAGCCACTGACCCTTTTCATCACCCATAAACAAGGAAGAGGGCCCAGACGACTCTAAAAGGCCTGCCTAGCTCTGGCCATTGGCTCCTCCTCTTTGGTCTTTGCTACCCTAATTATCCACCCTGGCACTTAACAATTGCCAATATCCCAAGCTTATAAAGCCAATTTAATGGTAATTTGGGGTTTGACCTGGCTCAGCACTCCATCTTCCTGCTAGATAAAAGGGGGGAAGCTGAGCTAGAACTTGGTAATCGCACCTCGGTTCTCGCTTTCTCCCCTCCCGGGCTCCAGCCGCTCTGCCTCTCCTGCCATGTCATGCCACTCCTTCCAGCTGGGCTCCAGATGTGGCAATCGGAGCTTTAGCTCATTCACAGCTGTCATCCCCCGGATGGTGACCCACCACACAGTGAGCAAGGGGCCCTGCCGGCCTGGGGGCGGTGGGGGCCTGCGAGCCCTAGGCTGCCTCACTTCACGGAGCCTCTGCAATGTCAGCTTTGGGAGGCCCAGGGTCGCTTCCAGATGCAATGTACCTGGCTTTGGGTATCGAGTCGGGGGGCCCTGTGGGGCTTCTCCCTGCATCACCCCTGTCACCATCAATGAGAGTCTGCTGGTGCCCCTCGAGCTAGAGATTGATCCAACGGTGCAGAGGGTGAAAAGGGACGAGAAGGAGCAGATCAAGGGCCTCAACAACCGCTTTGCATCCTTCATCAACAAGGTAAGAGACCCAGGCCCATGTGGTCCAGCGCTGCAGGGTAAGAATATGACCGCAGGGAACATGGATGTCTGGTCCAGGGAGCAGCAAACAAGGACACTAGAGGCTTATCTACTGGGTCTTCCTATAGTCCATTAACTGCCAAAAGTTTGTTAGATCACATTCAACATAAAACATTTTTATGAACTTGTGGCAGCCTAGTGGGTAATGAGTTCCACTGCTGACCCAAAGGCAGATGGTTTGAATCCACCAGTTGTTCTTAGGGAGAAACTAGGAAACCTCCAATGCAGTTTACTGCCTCTGAAAAACCTGCCAGAGGGTCAACTATGAGTCAGCTCCAATTCAAAAGCAATGAGTGAGGGAGTGTCCTTTTTTATAAGTATGTCACATCTCTCTAGATATTACCTGACAACCTTATCAAAGTTGTCTGGAGTCAGGCTACAAGAGGAACTCCCAAAGCAAGGAAAGAAATCACCAAAGAGACAGAGAATTGCCTTTTCTGAAGAAGCTTTAAATATAGAGGTGTATTCTGTATACGTGAGCTGGATTAAGACCCTCAGGTCTGGAGGTGTGGATGGATAACTATGATATCCGAATTTGCCGCTAACTTGGACCTTAAGAGCAGAAAGTGGAGTAATTTGAGCTACATACACAAAGTGACTACTGTCCAGCTCTGTTACTTTCAGAACCACAGCTCTGAAAGGCAACAGCAAGAACAGTGCACTGTTTTAGAAAGCATCAGACTGGCCTGTCCCTCCGCAGCTGTCTGCAGGGCTGTCCTCTTGTCCCACAGAAGTTCCTGGGATTAGGGAATATGTCACTGGCTGAACTGGTGTTCCTGATAGCCCTAAGGTTTACAGCTCTGGTACTGACTCTCTCCTGTTACCCTGACGACCACCTATAGGCAAGTCACCCTCCTGTCAGCCCCTCAGGGCTCTACTGTGAGGGTGGACACGGTGGGGTGGGAGGAAGGGGTCAGTAGACTAAAAGAGGTAAGCTGTGCATTGCAATTGCATTTCAGAAAGGGAATTCTTCTTCATTAAATAGAAACCAGCATATTTCCAGTTTTATTTTTAATGTTCCTAAAGTTCTGGTTGTAAATTCATGCCATGAAGTGGGCCTCAATGGTCAGTGACCACCTTCTGTGGGGTGGATGCCTCAGGTGATGAGACCACGGATATGAACAGGACAGCAAGCATGTCTTCTTCTCCAGTTTTCTTGAGAGACAATAATAACGTGAAAAATCCCATGGGGAGAACAGAGACTGTGTTCCCTTTGTTATAATGGCCAGTGTCAACTCACTCATTCTTTCCTGATCTGTTTCAAATTCATAAAAAGAGAAACAGTGGGCTTGCATCTTCAGTGCTTCTGTGACCTTAACATTTTTAGACACTGTCATGCAGAATACAGCAGAATAGGTGACGAGCTTTAGGGTCCTAGGTAAAAAAAATCTTGACTTTTTCTCCTTGAGTGTCCTTGGGCTAGAATAAAAGCAAGCTCCTACTCCCAAATATATCACCATCTTGCGTTTTTCTTTTCTTAATGTGCTATCAACTACAACTCATAGGGACCCTGTGCACAATAGCCCTGAACCTTGCTCTATCCTGAGACAATCTCACTGTCTCTGACACATCTCCCATCATTCCCCAATTATTGTGTCAATCCATTTTATCTGGGGTCTTCTTCTCCTGCTCTGTCCCTCAACTCTTCCAAGCATGATGTCCTTCTCCAAAGACCGGTCTCTCCTGACAACAGGCTCAAAATATGTAAAACAGGGTACCAAAATCCTTGCCTTCAAGGAGCAACCTGTTTTTACTCTCTCCAGGACAGATCTGTTAGTTCTCTTGATGACCCATGGTGTTCTTCAGCATCACAACTCAAAGGCATCAGTTCTTCTGTCATCCTTGTTCATTGCCCAGCTCTCTGATGCATAGAAAGTAATTGGGAAACCACGGCCTGGATCAGGTGCACCTTAGTCTCTACCTTGCCATTTAACACTGTGGAGAGGTCTCTGGCAGCAGATTTACCTAATGCAATTCATCTCTTGATTTCCTGATTGCTGGTACCAAGAGTGTTGATTATGGAACCAAACAAGACGAAATTGTTAACAATCTCAAGTTCTTCTCCATCTATCATGGTGCTGCCAGTTGCCCAGTGGTGAGAATCTTTGTTTTCCTGATGCTGACTTGATATGACCAAATGCATATCTGTAAAGTACACTAAAGCTTCAGGGACATATCTTACATTAATATGAAGATTTACAAAGTGCTTTCCCACAAATTACCTCCAACAGGAGTTGTAGGAAACAAAGCAAATTTTGAAAAGATGGCTTGGTTAAAGTAAAAAAAGTACTGAGAAGCGGGCCTGCAGAACTAAAACATGGACTTGCCCACCCTCAGTGTTTTGGCATTATAGACTGTCTATTACAACATGCAAACTCTGAATGGAAGGTGGGGGTCCTACAACCTCAGGCAGGAGAGGCATGGAGGCAAAGAGCCTCAGGGCTAGTATGCACAGACAGCCAGTCTTTGAAAATCCTGACCTGTTCCCAGTGTTATGTTGGGAGAAAGAGTACAATCTCATTCCACCTTTTACTCAGTCCAACCACAGTCCCCAGGGTCCTTATGGCCCAGTGACACTAAATTTTCTGACTGCAGGTGCGGTTCTTAGAGCAGCAGAACAAGTTGCTGGAGACCAAATGGAACTTTCTACAGCAGCAAAGGTGCTGCCAGAGCAACATCGAGCCCATCTTTGAGGCCTACATCTGCTCCCTCCGGAGGGAGCTGGACTGTGTGGCCGGGGACAGGGCCAGGCTGGAGTCGGAGCTCTGTGGCCTCCAGGATGTGCTAGAAGGCTACAAGAAAAAGTGAGTTGGCCTCACCTTCACTCCACGAGGGATGATGGGAGTGTGGGGTTCGGAGCCTGATAGATACCATCATGAGCCAGCTACTTAAACAATCTGGACCTCAGTTTTCCCAGCTATAAAATGGGATGCCTAAAACTTAGTAGGTCATTAATAATAGAACAACTAAACAAGGTAACTTAAGCACAGCCTCTAATATACTATGTGTCTATCACATAGTAACGGTGTTTGATGCCAATGAGTTGGTCCCCAATGGGTCAAAGCACTCCTCTGTCCTGTGCTATCTCCACAATTGATTGTAGATCAGACCAATGTGACCCATAGGGTATCTATGGCTGTTTTTCAGAAGTAGGTCGCCCGGCCTTTCTTCCTAGTCCATCTTAGCCTAGAAGTTCTGCTAAAATCTGTTTAGCATCATAGCTGCACACAAGTTCGCCTAACAGGTGGTTGCACTTGTGGTGCTTTGAGCTCTGAAGGTGTGTATTTCTCGAGTTTTCTACTCTATTTCTCTTCTATTTTTATCTATCTTTCCATAACCCTGCCTAAATAAAGCCCTTATCCTATGTCTCACTGTCAGCCAAATTCCTCCACCTGTCCTATCCACCACTGCAGATCGCTGCTACTAACTACCTATTCTGTCCTATCTTACATCAATGACTTAGCAGATCCCGGACTTCCTACTCCCTAGACTCCCACTCCTTCCTCCTCTCATCCGATGTGTTTTTATGTGTTTTCTCCGACTGTCCTTCTGCCTGATGAGCCCTCTCTCTAATAAGCATTTCTTCCTACCACTTACATGCTAATAAGTTGTTCTATTGTTCTTACCTGCCCTTGAACCAGTCCTGACTGATGGCAATTCTACTGTGCAGAGCTGAATTGTGAGATTTTTGCGCTGTGATCTTTCAGAAACAAATTGCCTGGCTTGTCCTCCAAGGAGCTTCTTCATGAATTTGAACCCCTATCCTTTCCATCATCAGTTGTATTTGTAAGCATTTGTAGCACTCGCAGACTGCTCCTGGAACCTCTGACTCCCCACCTCTGAGGGTTTTGTGACATCCCTGCTCTTCTTTTAATCATCCTCTGCTCTCAGTTCCCACAGCTTTCTGGCTCCCTCCTTTCTCTCCTCCCAGCTTGTACTTATCTATCCTGCTAGTCCTGCCCTCCCTGAAGGCAAACTCTAGTGTCTGATTCTTAGCCTGAAGCATAAAGTTTACAAGAAGATGTTAAAGAGCGGGCAAAGTGCAGACAAGCAGAATCCACTGTCAGTAAGAGGTTGAAACTCCAGGAGAGTACTGTCACATTCTGCCAGGAAATGCATGAGCCAGGGACATGTCTAACAAAAAGAAAACAAGTGTAGTATATTGAGAGCAGTGATTGAGAAGTATGTGGGGCTGCAGAAGTCAGGTGGGGAACTTGAGTGCAGCAGGTGCCTACCTGGTGCCAGACCTTTAGACGGGAGGTGTGGGTGTTTGGGGTAAGTTTGGCAAGATACTCAGATCCAGTGAGCAAGGATCATACCTGCATGCACAGGGACAGCTACAAGGTCTAAGTAAGCAGGAGGGGAGAGAAATCCCAAGGGAAGCATGGAGAAAGGGCTCAGGAAGGCTTCCTGAGAGGGTGCTATTTGCTTAGAAACTTGAAGAAAAAATTTCATGCCATTGCCTTCTTAATAAGAAGGAATTCAAAGGGAGTCCTTGGAAGGAGAAGGACAGAAGAAGAAGATAAGAGTATCAAGTGAAAAAAGACAAGTCTGGCAAAGGCCAGAGATGAGGTACAGCAAGGCCATGGAGCTGAGGGAGAGGAGACTGGGATCTCGGCTGAGATGTCACTTTCTAAAGGGTCAACAGCAAGGCAAAATATTGTTAGGAAACACCATTCTCATTCAGCTCAGCAGCAAGACTATGAATTGTAAAAGCAGGACAATAAGAGAAGAATGAGATCAAAATTCTCTTTTTAATGATAATAGCAAATACACAATTACTTACTCCCTGTCAGACAGTTTCTTAGTGCCAGATACACTGTCCTAGTCCCAGATTCACTGTTCACCCATGGTGAAATGAGACACTGTTTATCTAAAGTAAGAAAACAATCAAGTGACTGAGCTGGGATTCAAAGCCAGGCCAACAGCTCCCGGGCCCACTGCCTGAGCCTCAGCAGAGTTCTGTGAAAAAGCGGAAAGGCAGGCGTCTGGAAGCACAGTGAAGCTTTTAATGGACGGAAGTCGCTCATCAAACGGAGTCATTCTGAACCCCCTGAACCTGATTTCCTCCCCTTGGGGAGCAGTGAATAGGCCAAGGTACTCTCTCCAAGCTGAAGAAATAGTTGGGCTGCCTCTGTGGGGCTGGTAAAGTGGGTAATTGCTACCTCTGCAGCTGAAAGGTGTTTTTTAGGAAAGGCTAAGGACGGAACATGAAGTCCTGTGGAAATCTTGGTGACCACAGTCAGCTTCCAGATAACTCCAAAGAGACAGAGCTATGCCAGCAGCAAGTCACCCTTCCTCCATCTGAAATGAGACAAAATGAGCTTCCTTAGCCGCAAGAGAATGGAGGTAGCTTTAAAGTGGACTAACCAGAGATGACTCATCATAAGGCTATGAGGGGAAGAGGATAAACTTCAAAAATGGCTAACGAGTGCCTATGGTAACGATTATCTGTCCTGAGCAGTAGGAGGTAGACTGTTGACCCATGAGGGCTTTCAGGCAATAGAGGCAGATTTAGAACCGTAGACCCTTGCCCAAACTCCACATGTCTGACTAAAACATTCCTTTCTACACGTCCCTCCAGATATGAAGAGGAGCTCTCCTTGAGACCCAGTGCCGAGAATGAGTTTGTTGCCTTGAAGAAGGTGAGGGAGAATGGGGCAAAGTGGGGGAAAGTTGGCCAAGGACACCCAGAACCTGGACTGTGTCCAAAAGTAGTTGTGACCCACCCATCCTCAGAGCTTGACATGGCCTCAAACTTGCAACTCACTTGGACCAAAGCAGGTCACCAGGCCTTTCTACCTAGTCTACACCTGTCCACGAAGCTAGAGAGATGGTCAATGCCAAAGCGAAAATGCTGACAGGAACATCCCAGAATGAGCATGATCATGATGATTCCTCAGCCAAATCTTTTTAAATCTAAATTCTGCCTTCAGATCCTGCCCTATCAGGGTTCCAGCTTGGTGCTGGGGACGCCCTACTCACCTTGGCTCTGTCGCTCTTTCACTTCTACATGGTATAAAGGAGGAAAGCAGGTCATAAATCTGCCACTGTCCCCAGACGGTCTGGGAGTGGGGGCTGAGGTGGTCTTGAGAGGATACTGGCCCTGCCCCAGGTTATGGTCTGTCACTGTTCTTCCACAGGACGTGGACACAGCCTTCCTGATGAAGGCTGACCTGGAGACGAATGTGGAGGCTCTGATCCAGGAGATTGACTTCCTAAAAGGCCTTTATGAGGAGGTAACCACAGCCAGACTATCAGGTGGTCAGTCTGCGCCAGTCCAGGGCAGTGATGGGTGTGAAGTACCTGTCCTTCCCCAGCTAGCACATAATGATATCAGGGCGACAGAGGTATTCAAGCAACAAGGCCCCCAGAAAGAACAGCTTCTGGACCTGAATCTCAGGCCCCTCTAGAAAAGTGTCCACAGGATGTGGTATAACTATAGTAAAATCCTGTGCTCTCCCTTCCCTTCCCACTAATTCCTTTCCCTCTTTTTCCTCCCTTATACAAAGAACTCATTGATTCTCCTCTCTTCTGCCTACCATGGTCCTCTCGCAGGAGATCTGTTTGCTCCAGTCTCAGATCTCAGAGACTTCGGTCATTGTGAAGATGGACAACAGCAGACAGCTGGACGTGGACAGCATCATCGCTGAGATCAAGGCCCAGTATGATGAGATCGCCAGCCGCAGCAAAGCTGAAGCAGAGGCCTGGTACCAGTGCCGGGTGAGGCTTGGGGACTATCAGGTGGATGCGGGGTGACCCCAGACCCCGTCACCCTAAAGAGCTCATGAGGGCAGTTCCACTCCCTAAAATCAGGGAACCCCATAAAACCCATGCCCTGATGCTGCTGCCGGGCCTCAAGCTATGTCCCTGCAGAGGGTGTGGGAAGGCACCCCGCAGTCAGCCAAGGCCTGTCATCAGGGTGCCATGGCACTGAGCTTTATTTACCTGCAGACTCATCGGAAGTACTGGTTCCAAGCCCAGCCTCTAAGCAACAGTCAATAATTACTAATTGGTGATGAGGACAGAGAGAACTCTAGGCTTTGAGGCGTGGGAGGAGGCTGGTGGCATAGAGTGGTTACTAATGGTGGAGCTGAAACAGTGATTAAGGTGGCCCAGACTTCGGTAATTAGGGCCTTGCTGGGAGGACAGGGGGTGTCCCTGAGGGCAATTCAGTTTGACAACATCATCTTCACAGTCTCACCTGCCCTGCCTGTGATAGGCACTATGTCTATGTCCATTCATTCACTCATCCATTCATTCAACAAACTATTTCCTGAGCACCCATCAAGTCCCCCATGCTGTTCCAGATGCTAAGGAGCCACCAGGGCACAGACACCATCCTGGCCTCACTTCATGAGGCAGGAGAAGTAGACAATAAAACAAATCAATAAATGCAATGGTGTATTTTAGATGTTGATATAATGCTATTAGAACAATCAATCAGGGTAAAGGGTAGGAGATGGTGTGGGGTGTGACTTTAAACAGGGGAGTCAGGGAAATGTGGCCTTACCAAGCAGTGTGGCCCTGAAAGGAGATGAGGAATCAGACCACCCCTGTCTTCACAGAGAATGGGTGGAGGATGTAGAAGGGGGAGGAGAAAGAGAGCTATGCAAACAATCAAACCAAGATACAAGGCAGGTGAAATGATTGCTCAAGTGGCCAACAGACAGTAAGCTGGAGGTGATGACTGAGCACCAAGCTGTGTCTGGAGAGACAGAGATACCACCATCTGATTCACTCTCGAAGGACAAGTTCCAGTACACAGGTTAGAGGGTAGGTGGTCAAGATAAGGAGCAGCAGGAGCCGGATGAGCATGGAAGCACGTGGCTGAGGTCCTGGAGTGTGACCATCTGGGAAGGGGATCAGGCTTGGGGGTCCCCAGGAGGCCTGAAGAGCTACACTAAATACTTTGGACTTTCTTGCTGAAGGCATCATTCTCACTGCACTGGGAGAGCCCCAAGTGATGCTCTGTCCATTTTCTAGAGAGACATGTTCCTGTCCATCCATAGCGAAGTTTCACCCCAGCATCCTTTCCCTGGGCTGCCTTCCTGTATATTCATGAGTCAGGGAATACAATCTCACTTTCCCGTCCTCTTAAATCAGACATAATCAGAAAGACAATTTTATTGAAAGACTGTATTTCATTGTGAGGATAGGGGGGGAAATAAAACACATTAGGTTTTTACTTTTTTTCTTAAATAATTTGATAGATTGGCACATATGACATGGTGGTTTCTGATGCTATCAGTGGCTCAAGGCTCCTTCCAGCCTCCCACTGTCCTTATCATATGTCCATCCTCATGGCTACCTCATATCCCCAACTGGCTGCAATAGCACCCAATCAATACACACTCCAGGCAGAAAGAAGGCAAAGAAAGAACAGAAGACACATGGCAGCTGAGTGATCCTTCACTTTAAAGAGCTTTCCCACCCAACAATGTCTCTGAGCTCTTGCTGGTGAGAAATACTCTATGAGTCCTCTACAGTTGCTCGGGATGTTGAGAAATAATTCTCTTACCTGAGTTCATTACCATCTCTGACAACAGCAGGGTTCTTTTTCAAAAAGAAGGAATGGACAGATATTAATAGAGCAATTTCAGAGTTTCCCACAGTAGTAAATGGCAAAAGGGTCAAAAAGAGGAACTTTGTGATTTTCTGTGCAGCATTCATTATATATGTTAAAAATCTAGATTTGGCCAAACTTTTTTAAAAATCTATGTTTCCAAAGTACAAAGATTATTTAAAAAAAAAAAAGCAACACTGTTTCCAAAACACAAAGGTTTAAAGAAAAATTAAGCCACTGTAGGACTTAATAGTGCATTTTGTGTTCAATTGTTTTGTGAGAGACCATAAAAATTTACTCATCCCAATGGGCATAGATACAGTCTGATCTCAGTCTTTGATGAGTTAGGCCCCACTCTGAGCTCCAAAATGCCTTTCCAGATCCATATGGATGCCTAAAAGTGAGAGTAGCTCTTGGGAGACTGTCAGGCTCTCAGCTGGAGAAAACAGAGTGAGACAATGAGAGAAGGAGGAGACACAGAAAAAAGTAGGCAGAGAAGAGATGTTCTTGAAGCTTGAAAGAGAACTTAACAGGCCTGAAGAAACATGGCGACAAAGTGAGAAGATAGGGAACAGCCATTTGTAAGGGCGCTGAAATTAGCCAGAGAGAGAGAAGAGAGACAGGGAGCAAAAGAATCCAGCTCCTATGTGAGGATTGCTGAAGAGCCAGGGTACCTGGCGGGGGGGGCGGGGGGGGGAGCGTGAGTTCTGACTTCCCCTGTCCTGGCAGTTTGAAGAGCTGAGGATGACAGCTGGGAACCACTGTGACAACCTTCGAAACCGCAAGAATGAGATCCTGGAGATGAGCAAGCTAATCCAACAGCTGCAGCAAGAAATTGAGAATGTCAAAGCCCAGGTGAGACCCGGGAAGACCCTCTGAGAACACACCAGAGGCTGATCCCCCCAATCTGAGCTATGTGGGCCAGGTCCAACACTCCCTGGGAGAGCTCTGGGAGAGGGAATGGCTCCCTGGGAGAGCTCTGGGAGAGGGAATGGCCTTGTGCTGCTTTGCTCAAAAGTCAGCTCTTCTGCAGCTCCCTGAGAGGCATCAGTGTAAGGAGACTCAGGAAAGTGTGAGGCCCCCAACAGAGAGGCTATGTGGCCTAGTGGCATAAATGAGATAGCAAGTGTGTGTCACTGAATGGGACTATAGAAAAGATTAACTTCATGGTCCTTTCCAACCCAAGGGCTCTCTGAGCCTGAAATTCAAGGTGATTCTCAGGAGTTCAGAGACCCAGACCCCCCCTACTTTCCAAGGATAATGCTTAAATCTAAATGCTTAAAACCTCAGCGCATTGTTGTTGAGTCAGTTTCGACTCACAGCACCCTTCTGTCAGTTTCCAGGGCTGGAAATCTTCATGGGTGGCGATTGCCTATCTTTCCCCCAAGGAGCAGCCAATGGATTCAAAGTACTCACCATTTGGTTTCCTGTATCATATGCTCCCATTCATTACACACTAACCCACCAGTGTGCCTTAAAACCTGCTAGCCTCAAATAAATAGCCCAACAAATCCAGGAGGAAATCTCAGATCCCCTTGAGATAGACAGGAGAGCTCGTCCCAATTCCCTGAAAGGACCATATGTCACAAGGCTAGGATGAAACCTATGGTTGACATGTAACCAGAACCACATCCTCTCTGCTTTTCTGAGAGTCCATTCAAAAGATCTGCATAATGCTCTTCTGTGCCCTCTGCCCCAGCGCTGCAAACTCGAGGGGGCCATAGCCACAGCGGAACAGCAAGGCGAGGCCGCCCTCAGCGATGCCAAATGCAAGCTGACAGGACTGGAGGAGGCCCTGCAGAAGGCCAAGCAGGACATGGCCTGCCTGCTCAAGGAGTACCAGGACGTGATGAACTCCAAGCTGGGCCTGGACATCGAGATCGCCACCTACAGGCGTCTGCTGGAGGGCGAGGAGCACAGGTGAGTTCAGTGAGGGCAGGCTGATCCAGAAGAGGCACGGGGTGTGCACTGCCTGGCCTCTGGTTACTGCTGCTGCTGCTGCCTGCCTGCCCCCAGAGTCATCAAAAATCTAAACCTGCACACAGGCCACAGCTCTCATCATTAACATGGTCAACAGTGAGGTCACCGAAGGAGATCTGATGGCACCATGATTAAAAAGCCAGGCTGCTAACTGGAAAAAAAAAAAGATACGCAATTTGAACTGAGCAGCTACTCTTTGGGAGAAATATGTGGCAATCTATTTTCATAAAGATTAGAGCCTGGGAAAGCTTGTGGACAATTCTGTTCTGTCCTAAAGGAGCTGGAATCAACTGGGTGGCAGTGGGTATGGTGAGGGCAGGAGGGGAAATGCAAAGGCCTATCTGCTTTGCTGTCTTTGATTCAGTTCCTTCTTTTCCTCTTATCCCCAGGCTGTGCGAAGGGGTTGGACCTGTGAATATCTGTAAGTAGATGAGTCACACTCCAGGGGCTCTGGGGTCTAGTAGGTAGATCAACCCAACAGAGAGAGCATGCTCACCCCTGCCTGGGTCTATGCATACCCCTCAAGGCCCAAAAGAACTCTGGCAGGGTTCCCAATGTAATGGAGAGCTCTCTCCAGGCTATCTACTGGGAGATCAGAACTGGGAATAGAGACTTACCGTGGTATTATTGTTTCAAGGCCCAGCCTAAGCTATGAAGAATCATAGTGCTAAGAGGACCTTTTGAAGCAGGCTCAGGAAGGAAGGATAAGAAAGAAACAGAGAGAGTGACTGTGATATCAGGACTGGCTTTGCCAAAGCTCTGGGGAAAGGCCCGTGAGAACGGCTGGAGTGGGGAGACATGACCATTTGTAACTGGCATTATCAGAGGTGAATGACAGCACGTGAAGGACGGGATTTAGTCAGACTGTTTCACAGCAGATACTGCTAGTGCCATTCAAGCCCGACTGAACACCCCTTTCTGTCCCCACAGCCGTGAGCAGTTCCAAAGGCGCTGTTCTGTATGAGCCCTGTGTGGTCAGCACACCCATGGTGGGGACCGAGTACTGCCCAGGGGGCACCAGCATCCTGCGGAGCAGCGGGGGCTGCAGCATGATGGGCACTAGTGAACTCTACATCCCATGCAAGCCGCAAGGCATCCTGAGCTGTGGGAGTGTGAAAAGCTCCAGCATAAAGCTAGGGGCTGGGGGCAGTTCCTCCCACAAGTGTTAACCCTGCCCCCCCAGAAGCTGGCAGCCTGGAATCAGGGCCCCGTGACCTGGTACTGGATTTTGTACCCTAACCGGAGTTAAGACAAGGATATTCTGAAATCCCCATCTCCCTTTATTAACTCCAGATTTCCCATGATTTTCCCTGGGAATAGCCCTTCAGATCCACACACGTCTTAGCTATGTGCAGACCCTGAGTTATGCTCTAAGGGTGGTGTGGATACAGTTTTTTTGCACCAATGACAGCCCAGCCCTAGTGTGGCCAAGAGAATGGTTTTTCCCCAATCACATCTCTTCACTATGAGAAGACTCACTTTGTGGAGGATCCTATGGAAATTTCCCACAAGATCAGCTTTTCCTGTCCCAGGAGGTTCTCACTACACCTTACCTCTGACTAACCTCCAGCCTAAGTGAACTTTTAACAACCACCTGAAACACGGACTGTGGCAAATGTCAAAGAGAGACACCTCAAGTCCTGTTCTAAATGCCAAAGCCAGCACTCAGGGCCTGCCCATGTTTCTCTCAGAACAAGGAACAGAGGGGTGGCCTTTGGGCAGTAGCTTTACCTGCTCAGGTCTGTTGAGCTCATGCTACTATGAAGAGTCTTTTTCTTGAGTCCACACTAGCAGTGAGCTGATGGTGGCAAGCTCCCAGGAGAATGCTGAGAACCCAGGGTAAGGGAGCACGCAATAATTACTGGTGAGACTAGCTCTCAAGAGCTGAAACTGTACACTCAGTAGAATCAAGCCCTTTCCCCACTCTTGTAAATAGCCAACTCCCCGCCCCCTCCTCATTTCTCTTACTTTGAGTGTGATAGGAATGTGTTTTCCTCATGCAGTGATGGGAGGCTGGCTCTGGCTGGGGACTAGGGAAGCCATCTGCCTGAGACAGGAGGAGGTGCTGTTTTGGCTCCACTTCCTCAGAGGCCCCAGCCTCAATTCTGCCACTGAGAAACCCTTCGTACTAAGGCCCTCCCAGTAGGAACCCACAGTCCTACTTCATTGAGCTTCTGGGCTTTTCTGTTCTAATAAACTGATCTCTTGGTCACAGGCTACAAGAATTAGTCTTCTCTGTGGGTGCTCTGAGGCTTAGTGAGAACTGATAAGCAGTCTTTGGTGGATAGAAGTGGGAGAGGAAATAAAGGTTGCTATAAAATCGGGGAAACTATCTATGAATGATGTGCAAGTGGTCTATGGCATAAAAATGGATCCATAAAAACCACACGTATAATCTGTGCTTAGCAGCCAAGCCACTCGTCACATAAAAGCCATGCGTGTACTACACAAAGACCTCTTCATACTTCCTAGAGAAAATCCTGGGAGCATCTGTGTCATTCTGTGCTTAGAACATCTGCTGCCACGGAGTCAGCTCCCACCTAACAGAGACCCTGTGAGCATCAGAGCAGATCCGTGTTCCCTAGAATGGTCACGAGCGATTTTTTGGAAGTAGACTGCCAGGCTTTTCTTCCGAGGCACCTCTAGGTAGACTCCAACCTTTCAGTGAGCAGCTGTTTGCACCACCTGTGGATTCCAAGTCAACCCTTAGCAGTGCACAAGGCCTGATCTCTGCCTCCCTAGTGCTGGTACATCTTGATATCCGATTGCCCCAGCCAAAGAAAAAATTATGCCAGACAGACATCAGCCCGTGAGAGAGGAAAACTGGGACATTCCAGTTTCCCCTCTCCCTTCATTGTCTGCTCTCAAGTGGATTCCAACTCATGGTAACCCCATGAACTCATGGTAACCCCATGAACTCATGGTAACACCATGAGTGCAGAGCAGTACCTCTCTAGAGAGTTTCCAAGGCACTGGCCTTTCAGAAGCAGATCACTAGGCCTGTCTTCTGAGAGGACTGTGAGTAAGTTCAAACCTCCAACCTTTTAGTTAGTGGAGTGTGTAACCATTTGCAACATGCAGGGACTCACTCTACTCTGAGGGCACCACAAGTCCTGGCCTCTGCTTCCCCATCTCATCCCCAGTCCATTCTTGGAGCCTGGATAGCCCTGGCCTAGGGTAGGCAGTCAAGAAGGACAGCAGTTGGCAAGAAAAAAGACCAGAATGCTCCAGCCTTCTCTCAGTCTTCACTTACAGAGCCCCGAGACCTGGAGACAAGAGCAGCAGATTCACCCTCTGCAAACCCCCAATACCATTCCTTGTCAGGTCACGGCCCCATCACACCATTCCTCAGAGCCTCTCTTCCCTTTGTAAGTGTCTCTCCTAAGAACTGGGGTGCAGCCCACCTCCCCAGGACCCCACACTGAGCATCTATTCTATATGCCAAGCTCTACATTAGAGGCTGACAGTATCTCCCAGGACTCCAAGTCATCTGTGGACTAAGGTGAGGAAGACATTCCCTTAGACCTGGAAAGACTCTCAGTCTCATGGAGGAGTCATAAACAACAAGTGCCTGAGAGGCTGGGAGCAGCCAGGAAATGTCACTAATGACTAAGCCTAGAGAGGGAGTCAGAGAGAAGTTCACAGAGAAGACTGTAAGAACAAAGTCAGAAAGGAAACCTAGAGTTACAAAATCGTGGGCAGCATTCCAAAGAGCCTGCTCACTCAGATTTTCAATCCCTCAAAATATGTTGAACCGAGCACCTGCTATGGGTCGAGTCACCCAGAGGCTCCCCACACAGTTGACAAGACACCCTCAGGCCTTAAAGGCATTAAAAACAAAATGTTTTCACTTCTTTCAAAAACATAAGAAAAATTACATATATATACATAGGAATAAAGAATAACAAATCCAGCCAACATCATATTTATCTTTATACCAATGCAGTTGTAAAAGATCATTTTTAATGTTTTTAATGGCATAAAAAGACCCACAGAAAATAAATTGCAGCTCTGGTCTTAATCCACAGCTTATGAGGCTCTGAGTTGAGCAGAGAATACAGGCCTGGAACCCTAGAGCGTAAGTCCAAGAAGCAGAACAGAGAGCCGTGGGGCCAAAACAGACTGTCACTTCAGTCACGGGAATTGGGACACTGCCCAGGAGGAAGACAGGCATGCAAAGCCATGGCTGGGTAGCTGAGAGTTTTTAAGGCTGAAGAACACATGCATCCACTGGGGACAGAGTCGGGGAACACTGGTCTCTGGACACCTATGCCTCTTAAAGCTGCACCACTCGGTTTGGCCCTAAAGTCAGTTAAACACCCTGCTGGTTAAAAATTCAAAGCTCTACAGATGAGAAGCAGAGTAAACAGAAGCAGAGATCTCAATGAGACCCACACCCTGGGCCCTACGTGGGGCTTCCTAACAGCCTCCAGAGTCAGACAGGGAAAGGGAAAGAATCCTCTTGCCACCTCCCTCAACGGCATGCTCAAGGCCTCACAGCCATCCCTTAGAGACTTCACATTCCAGAGCACTTGGGTCTCGTGCACTGGATGGAACCATCCATCAAGCTCTGTTCATCTCACTATTGGGAAACACCATCCTAGTTCCGAACTGAGCTCAGCAACTTGTAGAAATCCCAGTGACTCCTGCTTGGTGCCATGCAGGGGTGTTCCCATTCTCCTCCTCTTCTTCACAGGAAAGGGTGACTCAGGGCAGTGTGACCAAAGTGCCTCCTCGTGGTGGCCTGGCTTGTTCACATTCCGCTCATCTCAGCAAACATCTCCTGAGCTTCTCCTCTGGGCCAGTCCCTCACTGGGCGCTGGAGATACAGGTAGGACTAGGCAATGTGGCCTCAGGGAGGGGCCTTGGGAAAGACAGGGAACTGTCTGTGTGAAGCCAGAGCCTCGCTGTATTCAGCTGGGTCAGGAAACTACATTCTAGATTTTTTATGGAGAAGACAGGAAAGGGAAACCCCAAGAGGCATGAGAAGTATAGACTACAGGGAATGAAACTCCTTCTTAGTGCATCTGTCTCCCTAGAACTGCTACTTCCTTTGTCCCTTCCTGTATTTTCCTCTCGTAGTTTCCAGAGTTCACTCAGACCTTTCTCCCCACACCACCCTTCCTTGTTCCATTGCCTCCCCAGACCCTCCTGCCTTTGCTCCAATGACCCTTGTCTCATCACATCAGTGAACTCAGGGTTCACTCACAATTACCACTCTCCCTCCTACCCTGAGATTACCAGGTTCTCAGAAACAATCCCAGAGAAGGCCAGGATTGGGGGAAATGGCTTCAGAAATGGCACCATGAGCAGAAGAGGGGAGCCTAGAAGAAAGAGGTTGTACCCCAGCACCTAGATGCACATGTCAAAAGCCACTTATTGACCTTGAGTTTATTTTGATTCATGCATCAGAGAGTCAGAGGAGCACTGTGTCCACAGGTTGGCAATGGCTGTGACCTTTCAGACATGGATTGCTAGGCTTTTCTTCCAAGGCATCTCTGGGTAAACTTGAATCTTCAACCTTTCGACTAACAGCTGAGCCTCCAATAAATGTTGGTCAGAGCAGAGTGACTATAAGCCTACATGGAGCAGCATTCTCATTCTGTACAGATGACAGTGGCATGATGGTACGGGATATTTGGATTAAACCAGAAAAACTCAACCTGCCAGGGAGAAGTGTAGAGTCAAACAAGGGAGAGATGCTTATCTCTCCTGGGAAGATATTTAAATGCTACCAGAGCATTCATTAGTCTAGGAAGGCAGGGAGGCAGATGTACTGGGAAAAGGTGGACTTAACACTACTGGTTGTCTCTTCCTGCGGGGGGATTTCCTAGCTTCCCTTCCCATGAGGGACAAGTCTGAGCATGAACGCCTCAGCCTCACCAGCAAGTGTCTCCCTGCAATACAAACTCATCCTCAGGCACCAGAGCACTCACAAGAAGGTGGCTTTCAGCAGCCTCTCGTCATCTTCACTTCTCCTATCTGTTCATTCTCTCTTTCTCTCTCTCTCTCTCTCCCTCCTTCCCTCCCTCCCTCTCTCTCTCTCTCTCTCTCTCTCACACACACACACACACACACACACACACACAGTGAACCCGGTTCTCAAACCTTTCTTAAGCAATCAAGGTAGAGTCCCCCTCCCCAGCCCACTCCCACTCCCACTTAGCAT